ATGCCCAGGTTGCAGGCACAATCCCTAGTGTGGGGTATGCAGGAGGGAGCCAATCGATGATTCTCTCTCATCACTGATGTTTCTATCCCTCTCCATTCTTCTCTGAAATCAATAAAAATATTTTTTTAACATTTATATTTCCTCATTTTAGCTTTATGGCATCCTCATGAAGTGGGGAAGGTTTTAGTAATCCCGTTTTAAATATGAGAAAACATTTATGCAAAGTTTCAGTGACTTGCCAAAGATTTTGGACACTAACCCTGCAACTCCATTCTACTTACAATCCATCCCACTGTATTTCTTTGGTACCAGAAACTACTCACATCAAGAGGGAAAGCCAGAATACTATAATACTATAATCCTTGAGAAAGAAGTCCAAGCCATGCAGTTTTAAATTGTTCTTTGCTATATGGGTAGCATTGCATCCAAATATTAAAAATCTACCATTTACCAATAGAAAATGCAGATGGGTTAGAACTTCAAATCCAAGCTGGCAATGACCCACATTTAAGAAAACTCCTGGCCTGAACTTTCTCAAAGCCACATCATGCCAGTGATGGTTGGAACCTTGGGCAGGCTCCCTTGAGCACTTATCCACTTAAAACTAGCACTTTTGTTGCAATCACTGATGACTCAGCGGACATGAAAGTCCAATGGAATCCCTCTCCACAAGCCCTGTCCACTCTCAAGTCGCCTCCTTGGAGATTCACCATCTTTGAACTTCTGCCATATTAGTTAATCACCCTAGTTAATTGAGTATGTCCAGGCCCTGGAATGTCTGCTTGCACAGAACTCTGGGAATTGTGGTTCTTCTGTTCCTCCTGGGTAAAATAATATTTAATAAGCCTACTTGACTGCATTATGGGGATTAAATGAGAGAATGAACAAAAAGGCCATAGTACAGTACATTGCAAGTAGTCAATAAATATTAGCTAGCCAATATTATATTGCATTATATTATACAGGGTGTGGCAAAAGTAGGTTTACAGTTGTTCATATGGAAAATGATACAATCTGCACGAGTGAAAGAGGAATATGAAAATTGACCATTACTTCACTACGCCCACCAGCCTATCAGGAGTGTGTATGCAAATTAACCTAAGAGGGCAGCAGCCCTGCCCTCCAGCCACTCCAGACCTTTGGGCAGCATGCATGCAGGCATTGAGTAACCGGCAGGGTGGGACACCTGCTATGAGGAGGAGGGCAGGGGGTGGAGAGAGTTACAGGAGCGGCACTCAGGCTAGAGCGAAGGCTGAAGGCGGTGGCTAGAGCGCAGGCCTCAATTCTGCGTGCTGGAGGATAACTTGTGCCGGCAGCCAGGGGAAGGAAGGTCTATTGCACAAATCTTCATGCAATGGGCCTCTAGTAATTAATAGATAATAATACAAGAATAAACTGTTTTGCATACTCATAACTGTAAATCTGCTTTTGCCCCACCATGTTTAATCACTAAAATATAATATTATTATATTATTCTTTTTGCTCCTGATGAGTTTAAGTATATTGAATTTAATTAAGAAGAATATGACTAATCATACATGCAATTGGATATATTTTTTTTAATCAGAATTGGATCCTTTTCTCAACCAACAATGGTTTAAGAAGAAAAAAGACAAGAGGAAGGATTATTCATATATCAGATGGGATCATGTTGTGTCTGTGATGTCTGAATGGATCGGCAAAAGAAAGCAAAGCTGAAAACCACTTACCTTTATGGATTGGAGGGAGGAAAGGCTTGGAAGAAGAGGTTGTGTTTTTGAGACCTTTGTTCCTTTACTCACAGAATCCCTACATATTCAGTTTTTCTATGCTCTTAATTAAAAGCATTAAGGCTCAGAGAGAACATGCTTTTCTATAGCAAAACTAGAAAAAACATACTTGAATTTACATTTATACAAATATGCATATTATTTATATATACATATATTAACACAAATATACATGCATATATATTTATGTAAACATATATGTATATATATTGTATGTATACATATGTGTGATAGATATATATAAACTCATGAATTCACACCTCTAATTCCAGTGCACCCTTATATAGGATTCCTTCTTTACTCCCCACCCACATTTGATTTCCCTTTCCTATGTGAGAATTTTAGCTTCCAATAGCATGAACACATTTTCACATTTGCCCAATGCCACAATACCTCTAAAATAGTTTCAAAATTGCTTAACATATCCACCACAAGATGAATAAAGTATATATACTAAAAATGTCCAGGAGTTGGTTTCAATTTTCCCCTACTCAACCTCACCCAAGAAGGAAGGTAAATAGTCAAATAGTGTGTCCATAAGTTACTTGAATTTTTCTTTCTTTTGCTTTTTCCTCCATGTGGTTGTGGTATTTATTTGAAATATTGTTGGGTTCACCGGGACCAGTTTGGCTCAATGGATAGTGCATCAACTTGGGAACTGAAGGGTCCCGGGTTTGATTCCAGTCAAGGGCATGTACCTTGGTTGCGGGTATATCCTCAGTAGGGGGTGTGCAAGAGGCAGCTGATCGATGACTCTCTCTCATCGATGTTTCTAACTCTCTATCTCTCTCCCTTCCTCTCTGTATAAAATCAATAAAATATATGAAATATAGTTGGGTTCATTTGTTTCCACTTGTTTCCAGTTTTAGGTTTGTTTTTTCCCTTCCCATCTTGCTTTAATTTTATTTTTGAAAATATAGAACATTAACAAGCTTCCAAAAGCCAAAACGATACAAAATTATATATGTACTAGAGGCCTAGTGCATGGGGGTGGGAGGGGTTCCTCAGCCCGGCCTGCACCCTCTCCAATCCAGGACCACTGGCTTCTGACTGCGCCCCTGCCAGCCTGGTCACCCCTAACCGCCTCTGCGTAGGCCCCCCCCCCCCCCCCCCCCCCCCCCCCCCCACTATGGCTTTGTGCAGAAGGACGTCCAGATGGATGTCCAGAAGACATCCGGTCTAATTAGCATATTACCCTTTTATTATTATAGATCAGTAGTCGTCAAACTGCAGCTCACGAGCCAGACAGAAGGCCCTCAGACCATCTCTCTCTTCAAAACTCAGTTATATCTCCAATCCTCATAATGTACTTACTAAAATTAGTGAACCTCTACAGATACTAGTTCTTTAGAATGGTAATTTCTATACATCATTACTTTTTGAAGGATGGTCTGGAGCTGTACTATCCAATACAGTAGCTACTAGCCACATGTGGCTCTTGTGTCCTTATAATGTGGCTAGTATCACTGAGAAACTAAAGTTTCATTTGATTTAATTTATATTTTTTAAATGGAAGCAGTATAAAATATTTTTCTATAGAATCCAGCTTCATTGTTTTGGAGAAGACTACATTTTATTGCATATCACTATTGTATTACAGTGTGTGGTTGCATTTTATTTATTTTTAATGTAGCTACTAGAAAATTTATGTGTGTGTGTGTGAAGAGAGAGAGAGAGAGAGAGAGAGAGAGAGAGAGAGAGAGAGAGAGGCACTCATATAGTATTTTTAATTGAAATGTGGGTCTCACTGGTTTGGCTCAGTGGATGGAGCAGCCTGCAGACTGAAGGGTCCCAAGTTTGATTCCAGTCAAGGGCACATGCCTGAATTGTGGGCTCGATCCCCAGTAGGGGGCATGCAGGAGGTAGCCGATCAATGATTCTCATCACTGATATTTCTGTCTCCCTCTCTCTCTCCTTTGCTCTCTGAAATCATTAAAAAATATATTTTTAAAAACTCAGTGTGGGGCCATGGAAGCTAAAGAGAAAATAAACAAATGGGACTACATCAAAATAAAAAGTTTTTTTACAGCAAAAGAAACCATCAACAAAACAACAAGAAAGCCCACGGTGTGGGAGAACATATTTGCAAATGTTACCACTGATAAAGGTTTAATCTCCAACATCTACAGACAGCTTATACAACTAAATAAAAGGAAGATGAATGATCTAATTAAAAAATGGACAATGGACCTAAATAGAATATTTTCAAAAGAAGACAGAAGAAAGGCCAAAAGGCACATGAAAACATGCTCAAAGTCACTAATTATCTGAGAGATGCAAATAAAAACAACAATGTGGTACCATCTCACACCTGTCAGAATGGCCAACATCAACAAATCAACAAATGACAAGTGTTGGTGAGGTTGTGGAGAAAAAGGAACCCTAGTGCACTGCTGGTGGGAATGCAGACTGGTGCAACCACTGTGGAGAACAGTGTGGAGTTTCCTCAAAAAACTGAAAATGGAACTCCCATTTGACCCAGTAATCCCACTCCTAGGAATATATCCCAAGAAACTAGAAACACCAATCAGAAAGGATATATGCACCCCTATGTTCATAGCAGCACAATCTACAATAGCTAGAATTTGAAAACAGCCTAGGTGCCCATCAGCAGATGATTGGATCAAAAAGCTATGGTACATCTACACAATGGAATACTATGCTGCCATAAAAAAGAAGGAATTCTCATAATTTGCAGCAACCTGGATGGATTGGAGAACATCATGCTGAGTGAAATAAGCCAGTCAATGAAAGAGAAACACCACATGACCTCACTCATTTATGGATAATAAAGAACATTATAAACTGATGAACCAAAAGATAGATTATAGAGACAGTAAAGCAACAAGCTGACTGTCAAATTACAGCCGGGAGGGTAGGGAGATCTGGGGGAGATAATAGATCAACCAAAGGACTTGTATCCATGCATATAAGTACAACCAATGGACACAAAACTCTGGGGAAGGAGGGTATGTATGGGAGGGGGAGGGGACAATGTTAAAATATGTACACAAATAATAATTTAATTTAAAAATGTATTTAAAATTTTAAAATAAATAAATAAATAATACTCGGTGTGGTCTGGTCAGCATCATGTGGGAACCATCCCAGACCTTCAGCATCTGCTAGTTTACAAAGACACTCCCCCAACCAGTTGATTCTCATGCTCAGTCATAGAAGCACTGAGCTGGATGCCTTAGAAGGTAGGCACACCCTAGAGTGAGTCCTGTCCTTTGGGGAGTTGGGGGAGGGGAGAGAGAGAGAGGGCGAAGCAGGGAGATCCCTGCCTGCCACTGTGATGTCACAGAGTAAACCTCATGTGTCAGCCAGCCCCGCCCTGACTGATGTTCTAGCTGCGGGACACCCTTTCCATCCTCTCCAGACCACCTCACACCACCGTAGCCCTCTGCAGGCAAGAGGAGCCTGATTCATCTTCACACTAGATACTCATTCCACTTGACCAGCTAAAATAGAGAAGACAAACTGAAATATCTTTGACTCAGAACTTCAAAAGTGAATGAACAAGTTCTCTCAACTGACTCAAAATGTTTGTCTCACCCAGAAGGTAGGTACCTTTATTTTTGAAATCTCATGACTACCTCATGTGTTATCCCTTCTCTCATGTGTATCCCAGAATATTGGATTTGTAATACAGGTTATACAAATTCATCAATTTCTTTCACAAGCTTATGGTAAAGAGCTTGAGAACACACTATAGGATTACACAAGATGGAATAAAAATATATTACTCAAGCCCAGTTTTTATGGATAAACCCGGAGATGTCCATACCTTGGCCTCTTGCTCTTTCATCCTCTTCTATTAAAACTTCCATTTCTTCTTCCTTTGCCTCTTCATCTTACTTTTCCTCTCTGTTCCTAGAGCTTCTTACAGCCCCTAGCTTTTCTTTTTTTCCTTCCATCTGTATATTCCTATTGGCCAAATTCTGGCTCCTGCTAAAAGACCCAGTAGTGGTGGGAATGAAAAAGATGCATATGACCCTATTGAACTGAAAGAGTAGATATTAAGTTCTCTTCCAAAGAATGATGGGGCACCCCCTCCCACCTCACCCCCCCCCCACCTCCCGCCCCCACGGTCCTGCTGAAAGCCAGCTCCAATCTGCTGGAACTAAGGAGAGCATAACCTTAAGATCTTTTGATCTCTGAGAATCTGTGAGAATCTGCAGGGGTCCTCCCAGATGCTGGAAGACGCTCACAGCCAGCAAAGACGTCTTGGCTTTTTAGGGTAAAACCTATATCTGTAAGTAACTTGCCCCCCATTTGAAAAAGTTGGGGACTATCAAACTTCAGCTCAAAGGTTCCTAAGAAGGAGTTTTCATTATATATCTTGCCATTCTCAAGAGAGAAAAATGAAGCTGGTAGCTAGAGAAATAACACACCACACACACACAGGCACAGAGCAATGTGGTATGCTGCTCTCTGGCTGGAAGTTAGGGGTCTCAGAAGAAAGGATAAGATAGGGCCTAAGAAAGGGACACTGTGGGACTGCAGAGCAGAGCTAATGATTCATTCTGAGGAGCCATCCGTGTGGGCTCACTGCTCCCTACCTCAGAAGCAGCCCCAAAGTGACTAGATGCTCAATTGAAGAATCCTCAAAATCGGATAAGACTATGATAGAAAGGGCCAGCCAGAGTAAATGCTATTTACCACTGGCTTATGAGGAGAGACTCAGGGAGTGTGGGAGAGTCTGGTTACCAGTTTTACCTGAAGTATAAAAGCACACTTAACCCATTGCCTCATTCTGCGTGAGTTTCCACACTCTGGCCTGCAATGTGAACCATTTGATAAGGTGGCCATGCCTTCCCCTTTCCCCGAGGGGCAGCCTGCGGAGAAGTCAGGCGCTTTACTAGCGCGTGGCCTGAGCAGTCAGCTGCTCCGAACCTGATCCCTCAGGTTGTGAGGATTCCAGCAGATGCCCGTGAACAGTCTGGCCAGGTGTTTGGTGCACGGTATGAGTTCCCTTCCTCAGCTCGTTCTCCTCATTTAACTCTGAGGACATCGTCCCTTGATGAGAAAGGACTAGAGCTCAGGTCGGCTTAGGGATTCGTGGCCCCAACATTTCACAGAAGTGAGGCAAAGACATGGCCTGATTTTATAGTGCGGGAGCTACGGGCCCAGAAACGACAGGCGCAGGGCGATGCCTGACACTGGGATCCACAGGCCTGGGTGGGGGGAATTCCTCGGATGACCAGCTCCCCGCCACCCGCCCCTCCCAACGGCCTCACTCGCAGCCCCCGCCCAACTCGGCGGTCCACGTGGCAGCGATCGGGCCCCAAGACCACCCCCCCTCCGGCCACTCCCGATGGTTCCCTCGCTGGGAGTTCTCCCAAGATGCGGGAGGGTGGTGAAGGGAGGAAGAAAGGACCCCGCTCCCCGCCCCGCCCCGCCCTCCGGGAAGTCCACGCCCCGGCCGCTAGGGCGGGACCAGCCAAACAATGCAAAACACTCTCCGGCGCGTCGCCGTGGTAACAAGCGCCCGTTGCTAGGCGACCCGGCGCCGTAGTAAACCCGTGCGCGGTGTTACTCATCCAGGTGGGGGGGGGGGCGATGGGGAGTTGGCGAGGACTGGGCCGGGCTCCCGCTACCAGACCGCTGGGGGAGGGGGGAGAGAGGGAGGGCAGGAATAGAAGGGGTGAGGGCGGCTCACCAGGAACGGAAATGGGGCGCCCGGATCGCCCTTCCAGAGGCTGCTGGCATTGGGCCCGCACCCCGGCCCCCGCCCCGCTTCCCCAAGAGCCCAGAGCCCAGCAGGGCCCAGGGCTCCGTGACCCGCGCGTGAGCGATTGCCCCACAGGATGTGCAAATGTGGCTGACCCTCTGATTCACTCCAGATGCTTGGGACGTTGAATAAGGCGGCTTCCTCTCCTGGAAATGACTGCTGGAGCTAGAGCCCTCAAACAATTACATTTAAAAAGCGGAAAGGGAAAGGCGACGACGCAAAGGAGAGGCCCCCAAACGCTTTTCTGTGGTCCTTCCCACTGAACATAAGTAAAAGTATTCCCAGAATGTGGGACCCATGTGAGGAAGAAAGGAGTCGTTGTTATTTCTGTGAGCATTTGAGGCCATGTGGACATTAAACATGGTTACAGTTGAGACTGACCCGAAGCTGGGAAACCCCAGAGCTAAGTGTCCACGAGGGACGTGAATAGTTTGGACACAGCATGGGCGTTTTGCTGGCATGACTCTTCCCTTCCAGTGTCAAAATGTTTTGTGTGAAGATCTTCTGTTATCCTCATCAGTGAACACTTAAATAGGAGGCACTGAAGTAAAGATAGATCTCATTATAGCAGCAATATCTCAGATACTTCAAAATACATCATCCATACAGGCTCTGATCCCCAGGGAATCACTGAGCTTGGGAAAGGACAAAACATTTCCAAACTCTCACTGGCTTTTGAGCAATGTGTTTGTACCCTGGTCTCTGTGAACCAAAGATAATACTCGTTCATGAGATCATTGCTGTTATCTGGGCTTTGGTCATCCAAAAGCAGGAATGTTTCCACAGGTGGGAGGAAATGCATTGGCCGGGGATCTGTTTGGTGACACGAGGGGTGCATCTGTGTAGAAAGGCAGAGGGTGTGTCTGTGGATCTGTGGACTCTCGCTGCTGTTACATATGTGAATTAGGAGGATTCCCGTCTCCTTCAGCAACCGGAGCTGTTGGGACACTTTTCTTTATTCACATCTTCACCTGGTAGACTCCCTAACTGTATCCATGGGCCTCCTTTCCATTACATACTTCACTCATTCACGGATGTTAGACAGAGCTCGGCTCCGAGGATCAACAATAAATAAAACCTGGCTGCTACCATATCTAACTGCTAAAGTCATACGAGCATAACAGATAAACAAACCATGTGATGAGTTACATGACAGAGGCACACAGAACATGCAGGAACGGGTGCATGTAGATCAGTGAGAGCCCACACATTTACACCCCACTTCAGCCTTTTACCTACCGAGTAACAGAGAGGAGCGCGTTAATGGGCATGGGCCAGAAATCTAACTCCTGGGAGGACAGAGAACTACTGCCCAGAAGAGCAAGTGAACCTTTATTGGGAGAATACGTCTGTATGGATAGTGGGGAAAGGAAAACAAAACAAAACAAAACAAAAACAAAAAAACAGCTGGAAACCTGAGCCCCAGGCTTTGTCCTTAGGGAAGTGGTGTGCTATACAATCTCCTCTGGCTCAGCATGCTTGCCCATTGTTCTAATCCCCTCTTATCTACAGTGGCGTCACAAATTGAATTCCTGTTTACAGAGTATGTGTGGGTGTCCAGAGACCATTGTTTCTCTTATAGATGCCGATGAAATATGGTTTTGTACCGTGTGAGGAACAGTGACTGAGCACCTTACAAATATAGGTTGGTCCCAACCCTTCGCTTTGTGATGTCATCAACACTGAGTTGCATATCTATCCCTGTGGGGCTCATCCTGAGATGGTAACAGTCCAGCGTACAGAAGTTAAATACTGTTTTGAGATGTGGAATCTTCGTGTCTGTGCTGAATCATGAGCTTCTGAGCTGAACCTAATTATATTTATGTTGCATTGACTAGCAATTATTTCTTCTGTTCTGAGAGAGGAAAGAGGAGAAAAAAAATATATTAACACGCCTAAATTACAATGAAAGGAAGTGAGTGGGATGCTAGGCTCTGATTTTTGTGGCCAGGCACAAAACTCATGTTTTGCCAGAGAGAGGAAATTAGACATTGTGGCCCAGGATCCTTGGGATGGGGGTAGGGAGGGTGGGGGGTGGGGGATCCTCAAGCTGGAGCACAACTAGTAGCCAGCCACCCAAGCACTCACACAAAATGATTAGCCTCCTAAGGGGGTAGATTTGGGTTTTGGAGAGGCCTAAAATAATATAATTTTGGAGGCACTCTTTAAGAAAAAGAATACAACATGACAAGTACAAATTAGGTAGCAGGGTCTTGGGAGGGGCCTGCAAAAGTTCAGAAGAGGGAATGATGAAGTTGAAGTTTCATTCGTTATATTCTAAATCCACCTCTAGGCCTCCTCTTATAAGACTCGGCCACTCCCATCGGCTTCTCCCCGGAGAAGGCAAATGTCAGTCTATTAAGACACAGGGGGTGCGGTTTATGAGCAGAGGCAATAAAAACCAAAGACATGAGGCTGTGCCAAACGGTGACTCAAGCGGGATATGAGAGTGCCTGCAAGTATTTGAAGGGTGTCAGCAGAGAGAGGGGGAAAGAATTGTTCACTGTTCTGGGGTGGACAGGGAATGAGGGTGCAGCTAAGTAAATAAGAATGTGCACAGAATTCATTGGGGAACACCGACAACTGTATCTTTTGATACTGTGGTGTAGCATTTCCCATGGGGAGTACTTAAGGATCGACTGAATCACCAAAAACTGACATTGGCCACACAAAAAAATGTGCTAAAGGAAAAAATCCTGATTTATGCAGAGCCCTAAATTCCTTAAGGCTGATGCATGTGCTCTATAGATTAGCGTGGGGAGCAGGCCAATGGAGCAAAGGAGAACAATCCAGAAGGGAGGAGCCGCCACCTCACCCACAGTGGCTGACTGGTGGGGAGCATGTGACTAAAGAGGAAGAATCTGAGGAGATGGTGCCACCCAGCGTTGTGATGACTACTGTAGCCAGGAAACCAGCAGCCAATTCCATCATGAACTGTAACCACAGAATTCCTGCTCCCTGGTCCCGACAGACAGGGTCACTGGGTGATTCGGGAATTGTGCCTGGCACAAGCATATTGTGTCAAAGAGGCTGCTCACATCAGTGTGAGAAGAACAGAGAACATATTGGGTGACAGAAGTGAGATCCAGAGAGGCTCCTTTGGCTAAAAGGTAGACTAATTGAAATAATTCAAACACTCTGAGGAGAGCCTGCCTTTGATTCCCTAAGCTGACTGCACAAACACAGAATAGGGAAAAATCTTCACTTGGTTGATGGTGAGTCTGGAAGAGGTGGGAGAAGGGTAGGGCAGGGAATAGAGGGTTTCATTAAATATAAGCCCAAAATGAGTCCAACAGGTGTTACTTTAAAATACACTTTTATTGGTTTCAGAGAGGAAGGGAGAGGGAGAGATAGAAACATCAATGGTGAGAATCAATGATTGGCTACCTCCTGCTATCAGCTACTTCAATGCTGGTAACACTATTCTCATCAATGGTGAGAATCATTGATCAGCCCCTACTGGGGATGGAGCCTGCAATCTGGGTATGTGCCTTGACCTGGAATTGAAGCAGAACGTCCTCGTTCATAGGTTGACAATCATTGAGCCAAACCAGCCAAACCAGGTGTTATTTTAATTCCCTGATATATATTTTTTCAGTCTGTTCAGATTTTTACTGATTGTTAGTTCAGAGTGGTAGCATACAAGTTGCTTACATGTGGAGCCAGAAACAAGAAGTCAATCCTGGGTATATACTAAGAGTGTCCTAAAATTACAGATTCCGGACCTCATCCCAGAACTACTATGGAAACTAAGGATAGGGGACTAGAAATCTACATCTTTTCCAAAGTTTCAGATAGTTTTGGTGCTAAATCATAATGGAGGAGTACTGCTCTCAATAAGAGGAATTTATAATTAGACAAAGCATCATGAGAGGTGTACAGTGTGACAAGGAAAGAGAGGAGGGAATGGTTCCCATTCATTTTTAAAGAATGAGTGACTTTCACACTAATCTTAATAAGAGACAGATCACCAAGTAAGAAGGTAATACAGAATGTCTCCCAACCTTGTCATCCTAATTAGTATGATTTTTGAGGACAGAAAGAACAACAAGAATATATGCAATCAACACCTTATTCGTTTGTCAGATTTCTTTTTTTAAGCTTTAAAAACCATCCTATATAATAAAAGCCCAGCAACTATATGGAGGAACAACCAGTTGACCAGTCTCTATGATGTACACTGACCACCAGGGGGAAGACACTCAATACAGGAGCTGCCCCCTGGTGGTGCATCCCTCAGCTGACAGGGATGAGTGGCACTCTCACAGCGGGTCAATCCCACAGGCCACACCCCCCACCAGTGCACTGGGCCTCTAGTTTAAAATAAAAATAAAAATTGTCATTTCTTTGCCTGGAGATCAGGGAGAAATGGTAGATAGCTGTAGCATTGCTGACCCTGGAATTTGTCTCCTAGCCTACTCCATCTGCATCCTCACCACATCCTCACCCAACACTCTGACTGCCTCAGCATTCCATGCAAAGGGATGATGTTAATAATCCTTAGTAAGGATGCTAACTGAAAGGTGGAGACCACCCAAGATACCTGGAAACTATTTCATATCCATGAGTTCTGTGAGGCTCTGACATTGCAGATAATAGAGCTTATTAAAGAGATGGAAAGCCCTACAATAAGGGAATGAAAACCTTTGCATTAATGGTGATCCTGTAATATTTGTGTGTCTGCCACAAATGAGGCCCAATCCATTCACACCAGTTACCTAGGGAATGGCAGTGGAATGGAAACTAAATCATCACTTTGTAAAGAAATGTCCCTCTGTGGGTGCAGGTCTTTGCTTTTCTGTGATTAATCCCAGATTCCCATTGGCAAACGCTCCCATGTAATCTCCCAGAACAGCTGGGCCATGATTGTATTGTCAATTATTAAATGCCCAAGTTTCCTGCAAGGCAGCTTTTAATCATGCAGCACTCCAAAGAGAGAGAGAAATGGAAGAGGAGGGATGGTAGGGGGTGGGAGGAGAGGGTGGGAAGACTGGTTTTCAATTTTTCAACATTAAACCAAAGAGATTTGGAACCCAGATGGCATCCTGCAGTCCTTCCACACAAGCTGCAAGAGTCTGACCATGGCCAAGGTAACCAGCTTCATCTTCTTATTGCTCAGAGCATACATTGCATAGTTACTGTGCACCTGATTCTTTTAAGAGGTGTGTCTGTCTCATCAATTTGTTGTCTATGTTAAGCCTATGTTAATTATGAGTTTTTCTGTTAATCAATGTTGATGGAAGAATTAGTGATATTATATTTTGGTTCCTATACACTTCCTAATGATCTGAACCCAAGTGTCAGGAAGTCACTCATTGTACCTTTTTTGTGGAGTAGAATCACCTTGGCATGGTGCTTGTCAGCACATGCAAAGATATAACTTTCCTTATGGCTGCTGCTTCTTCATGATCACCTTAAGGAAACCCCTGAAAAATTAGATTTGTTCTTCCATTCAAGAGGTTTGTGGATCCTGGAGGGGGGAAAAGGCATATTGTGGGGGAGAAATAAAATATGTGATGGGAAGTATGGGACTATAGGTATCAAAAGATAATTCTTGAATGAGGGTCCTTATGTCTATCCTTGGTGGACACCCCTTCTGAAAGAAGCCTCTTTTCATCTTTTGTTTCTCAAATCACCTTTCCTTAAATTCACTTTGGTGCTGCAAAGTGGTGGTACATGGTGTGGGGCTTATTATTCTTATTTCTGAATAACCCGCAGAACTTAAAAATATGTGTAAATTGAAATGGATTAAAGGTAGAATTGAAATCTGATGTGATATGATAGTGATAAATTTCCAAGCCACCAAAGACTGAAAATAAAGTTGTTGAAAATGTAGACTTGCCTAAAACCTTAGACAAAATGATTAGTGAAGATGTTTTATCTGGAAGTCTATTTCCTATCCAGGCAATAGACAAGATAATTAGAAAGGGTAACTTGTGTAACAGAATAATAACTAAAACCAATAGAATTTTCATGACTAAAAACAAGATCAAAACATTTTTGGGGGGGTAGCAGGGGTGATGAGGCAACATATGATGCCCATATCTAGCAATGTAAGATGTTTCTCCCTTCCAGGTGCTGTGGTTTGTCAGTCCTTACCAAGGTCACCCAGAGTCTTGACAATTCTTGTTGGATTTAATTTATTTTGAGTACTTAAAAAAGAAAAACTGAATTATTAGATTGCTTTCCAGAAACAGTTTATCATGTTTTGTATATTGGTTTTCATATACATATGAGTAGTGTGTATTTCTTATTGCCATAAAATAATCCACGTTTTGTCTGTAGCCTGCACTGTTTTAGTCCCTGGAAAGTCTAAAGAACAAACTGTTATATTTCTGAGATAAAGTTCTCTGTTAAATGTAGAAAACGTTAAGCTGGAGATGATGAGAGAGGCAGATTAATGGGCCTATCACATTTAGCTATAGTTTTATTTACATCTCTTAAGCTAAACAGATTTGGGTCTGATTAATTCTGCTATGAGAGATCCCCTGAAAAAGCTCAAAATGGTTTACTTTAAGAAGCATCTGTCAGCAGCTAAGTATGGGCTTCCTTTCCATTCAGAACGTATTAACACAATTGTGTAAACATTCCATTACACAAAGTGCAAGACCTGTCAAATTTATTTTTGTTAAATCTGGCTCCAAGCCACCACTCCCCAAAGTTGAAACATCTAGCATTGGTCATTCTTCAATTAGCCCTTCTCTTAGACTAAAAATAACGAGGTCAGGGCCTCTCCCCAGAGCCACAGGGGCCACAGACCTTTCTGCTGCCACACCCTGTGTCCCAGCTGTGAGTCAGGCAGGGCCCCTCCACAGGCCAAAGTCACCCTTTCCATGGCTCCATGGCCTGGGCACTTGGTGAGCAGCCTCCATGGGCACCAAGCAGCCATCTCCCATTTGATTCCTGCATCTCACTGGCCGTGGATGGAAAGCTGGACCCAGATAACCAGGTCTCTCAGAACCCACAGCTCCCTCTGCTCTCCACCCCAGTGGGCCTACTGTTTCCTTTTATCCCCAAGGCCCCATCCCTGTGCCTACCCCGGGTCACCTGAAGCCCACTTTCCACATGGCTCCTTGGAGGAAACTCAAAGCTGCTGGTAGTGCCGCCCACAGGCTGGAGGAAAGGGGCCTGAGCTTAGGGAGCCGCAGGAAGGATGTCCCGATCTCCCAGGAGGCTCTGAAAGCAGGTTCTCCCCTTGTCTGTCTGTTACAGATGGAGCTCCCGAAGGTCTTCTCTGGCCAACGGACATTCCTATTTGCCGTCCTCAACCTGCTATCACTCAGCTTCTCCACAGCATCCCTGCTCAGCAACTCCTGGTTTGTGGGCACACAGAAGATGCCCAAGCCCCTGTGCGGAGAAGGTCTGGCAACCAAGTGCTTTGACCTGCCAGTGCCCTTGGATGGGGGCGACCTCGACGGCGACAGCACATCATCCCAGGAGGTGGTGCAATGCAGCTGGGAGACTGGGGATGACCTCTTCTCCTGCCATACCTTCCGGAGTGGCATGTGGCTATCCTCCTGTGAGGAAACTGTGGAAGAACCAGGTATAAGATCCTCCTCATCCCCATCTGCCTGACCGCCCCCTCCCCACATGGGACCTTATAGCTCTTCTACACCCCATTGGCCTCACCCTCAAGCTCAGCATTTCCCAACACTGTACTATGTGCTTTCTCCTTAGGGGACCCTCTTTTAATAAGGATGAAAGTCCATATGGCTTTTCACTTCCTGCCTGTCTAGTAGACTCACTGGGTTAAAATAGCATTACCCTTAAAGGGTTCCATTTAGACTTTCAACAGTATAAGAATTTCTATTCTAGCAAACTAAAGTCACTGTTTAGAAACAAAAAGGGAGAGATGATATTACAGGAACAGCCCTGCTCTGCCCAGTTGTGACCTTATCGGGATAACTTCATTTCTATAGGACTCGATTTTCTCATCAATGAGATGGATCAAAGTAGATTGCCCTTAAAGCCCCTTCCTTTCCCTCCCTCCTGAAAAAAGGGGTTTTCTCATTCTAAGTATCGATATATAAAAGTCTAATATGTTAAGTATCCCTCCAACTGTTCGACTGGTCGCCATGATGCTCATGGACCACCAGGGGGCAGACACTCAATGCAGGAGCTGCTGTGACACGCACTGGCCATTTACAAAGAAATGGCACTGCAGACATGGTGCTGACAAAGCAACAGTTGGCTTTCCCCAAGTGGGAGACAGACCTCGCCACCACCCTGGTGTGGCAGCCTATCAAATCGCAGCCAACACTGCCGAGACCCCAAAATGCCGCCCACAGCCCAGCCTGGAAACGGTGGCTGTGGGCACTGGGTAATGATGTCATGTAGCAATGCCCAGCTTCCTCTCCCTAGTGACTAGCCTCCTTGGAGTTTCTTCAGCCCAGGGGTACACTTGCTTTATAGCCAAATGCAAACATTTTACACTTTAACTAAATGTCTGTGAAGTGTTTTCACATGCCTCATCTCATTTGATCCTCACAGAAGTCCTGAAAAAGGTAGATATGAGACTTGGTAGAATCCTATTTTCTTTTCATTAGCTGGAAAACAGAGATTTAGAAAGTTTAGAAACTTGACCTGACTGAAATGAAGTAAGAAATGGTGAACCTTGCAAATGACTTCAGGTTTTCTTTCTGCACAGAATATAGTCAAACTATATTCAGTTAAATACACAAAATACAGTTAAATATTTCACCCTTTGTTCTCCCGTGTGATCTACAATAATAATCTGCTTCGTGTTGATATTTACTGCTGTGTTCCTGACAATTACCTGAAAGAGAAGTTGGGGTGCTTCAGTGGGCTGGAAAAAGTTTAGCTAAACCATAAAATAGGTCTAATTAAGCAAGTTTATTTATATATATATATATACATATATATATATTTATAAATCTGTCACTGTTGACACTTCTATTATAAAGGGAAAATATTGAAATTTAAATATTCTAAATAATTTCCTTTCAATGTGCACAAATTCAAGCACCAGGCCTCTAGTTACTTGTAATGTTAAAAGCGGGGTAATTGAAGCTCAGAGAGAATAATTAGGACCTATGAGGATTTCAGGGCTCCGGTGTCAGCATGCACCCTCACACCTTATCCTCAGGTTAGGAGCAATTAGGTTGAGGTCACCCTCCTTGCTTTCTGCTCAAAGCATTCAAATGTCACCTGATAGTGAAGCTTTTCTAACAACAGACAATTTGCGATCTGCTCCTTCTCCTGGCTTGGGCTAAGGGGAAAAGAAGCCAGAAGAGGAATATAAATGTGTATTGTGCCACTTAATACCACTCCAACTCCAGCCCCTAAACAATTTAGAGCCATTCAGACCAGTGGGACAGCCTCCGAAAATGGCCTGGGTTAACACTGGGGTCATTAACTCTTCCTGGGGACATTAACAGGAGCTGGAACATTTCCCTCTCAGGGAAATATTGTCATCTTCATTATCAGGAATTGAGAAATTAATTTTGGGTGACTCTTATATATGCATTCATTTTTCCATGCACTCTTAACTGCTTTCAAAGAGATGTTTACCGTCTGCTGGGCAGGCACTGCATCAGAACAAATGGAGTGGTGCTGGGTGTGGGACTGGGGACAGATTTCCTCCCAACTGTCCCAAGGAAGCACCTCCAAGAAACTGACCCTTGTCTGTTTCAGGGGAGGAATACCGAAGTTCCACTGAACTCACACCACCAACCAAGAGAGGTGAGAAAGGACTACTGGAATATGCCACGTTGCAAGGCCTACATCACCCCACTCTCCGATTTGGAGGGAAGCGGTTAATGGAGAAGCCTTTCCTCCCCCACCCTCCCTTGGGGCTTGTGGCAAGTATGTGTGTGGGTCTGATAACAAAGTTAGTTGCCATTGAGTTTGGGTGCTTCTCTGGATCAAAATCGTAATGTGAACTCCTGCTTTTCTCTTCTTCTGAGCTCCTAAGGGCTGACACAGATTCCTCCTAGAGCGGCCTTTCATTCACATGCAGGAATGCGAGGAAAGGAACAGCAGGGACAAATCAAGTTCACAAATAGAAAACCACAGCTCTGACCTACTCCTGTTGCCAAGTAACCAGGCTGAAAAGCTTAGGTTTTTTCTTTTTTTTTTCCCCTCCAATAATTTTTTTGTGTCTGTGTAAAATAGAAGGAAGAGGGGGAGACATGGAGAGAGGGAAGAAACAAAACTGTCCAAAATTAAGGGAAAAAAAGAGAAACAACAATGATAAATAGCAAAGCCTATTACTCCAAGATTTCAATGACTACTCAAATCTCTCAACAGTATTAACAGTCAATCAATTTTTCTTGATTATATGTTGGGTACCGAGGAGAGAGAGAGCTGTAGGGTGCTAGCAAAGAACCCCAAATTAAGGAATGTTCCCAGCTGGCTTCAGCTTTGTCTTGCCGTCTCCTTCTCTGATGCTGCAAGACTTTTTCCCTTTCAATAGGCATCACCTAATTTCCCATCTGATTGTTCACCGTCCAGTTATTTAACCTTGGGGATGAAGGTGCCTCTTCCTCTGCTTTCCAACAGAGAACCTATGGCTATTGCTGGGAGCCCAATTTGCCTGCAACAGACTTGAACTCGTCGCTTTCCTCCTCCTATTAACGGACCTGCTGTTCACCGGGGACCCTGGCTGCGGGCTCAAGCTGAGCACCTTTGCCGCTATCTCCTCTGTCATGTCAGGTGAGCTTCCCCAAGGCAGGAGAGGATGGATGTCCTCTGCGCCCTCTGAAGCACTAGCTGGCTGGCTGCTCTCTGTCCTGAGGGGAGGAAAAAGGGACCTTTGGCGGGGCACGTGTGGGAGGGAAAAGGTATGAGATACATTGCGAGCCTTTTCTATCTTAAATTGAGATAGCATGTGAAATGTCATCTTAGACCACGGTGTACTTTGTGAAATGGTTTAACCCTAGGTTCTTTTTCTTTGCAAATGCCTCGATGTGTAAGTTAACTTGGCTTTCTTTTCCATTGTGACACACGGAGCTTTTCAAGACTGTTGGCTGAAGTAAGAGATGCCTATATCAGATCAAGAATAAAGCTCACATTGGGGGTATGGGTGGGCAGAAGTCAAGGGGAACAAAGCCCTGAGTGCAGCATTGACTCAGACGTTCTCCGTAGCTCTAAAGTCTGGGGCAGCCTGTTGCAGAAAGTCCCCCTGCATTCAGGGAGTCCCTCTGACAGATTCCTCTTCCCGTCTTCCTGAACCTGTGACTGCACCTGATACATAATGAGAAGGTTGCTCTGAAGTCTAGTTCCCTGTAGATGGCAATGTCAGCCTTTCTCTAAAGGTGCTGCCTTCCTGCTCCCTCTGTAGGCCTCCTGGGGATGGTGGCCCACATGATGTATTCACGAGTCTTCCAGGCAACGGTCAACTTGGGTCCAGAAGACTGGAGGTCACATGCTTGAAATTATGGGTGGGCCTTCTAATAAGTGCTTACCATCATCTCCTGAGCTTTTGGGCTTCCCCCAGCCAACCTTCATTAGAATTGCTTCCCTCAAGTAGACACTTGCTTCGTGTGCTTCTACCTTCTCTTCACCCCCTCATTTCAGAAGCCTGTCAGTCAAACAGAGGGCTGGACCATCAGACCACACCCATTCTTCCCCCACCTTCTGAACAGGTACAGAGAGGGTTCTAGTTTGTTTTGTGAGGCTGTTGTCTTGCCTGGTTTTTCTGCTGGTGCAACTGTTGCAATTGCTTCTCTACCTGATAAGTATGTTGCCCTTGGGAAACAAGACTGATTTTGTACGGCTTATGGAAACGATGCTCTATATTTTATATATTTTATACTTTGAGGTATTAGAGGACAGAGAAATGGTCAATGGGCCTTGAAATTTGGATTGAATTCTATCCCCTGTGAATGGCTTATTCTCCTATAATGAAGACTTAACTTCTTCCTACCTCCATTCTTATTCCACCAAACTGTGTTAGAAATAAAGCTTTCCCTACAGTTATTCTCTAATCCTTAGAAAACTAAGGAATCAGTGATTTTTAGAAATCTCTTTAAAAAAGAGAAGCAGCAACCATAACAAAACAAATATAGTCAAGATAAACATCTCCTTTGCTTAAGAGTTCCTCACTTTCTCCCTTGAAGCTCATGCTGGATTCAGGCACAGGGGCAACCTGAACTGCCAGTAACTATCTGGATAGTGCTATGGACTTGAACAGTGCTGAAACGATGCAGCACCAGCTCAAGTTTCTATGCAGAAGAAGGCAATCTGGAAAGCTCCACATGTTGGTTACAAGATCCTATCCCTTTTCTCGCTGCATAATGCATGCTATTTGATTCAGGCTGGGTCTTTGGTCTACTTCTCCAACCACCCTATCAGTTTAGCTCATTTCCCAGACTCACTGTTTCTCAACGTTGCCTGTCTCCAAGCCATTGCTGGCATTACTGTAGAGCTCAGTCTGCAAAACTCCCATCAGAAGCCTCCCCAGCCTGAGTCTACTTCGTCTGCCAGAGGCTGCAGACAGGAACACATAGTACCAGCATGTGGCCTAGCTTTAGCCATCCCTTGGCCTCATGAAATCTCTCACTAACTTCACACAACTTCCTGTTTCCTGGGCCACCCAGAATCATAGGGAGATTTTAGGATTTGACTTTCCAAGTTTTTAGGGCCGTGTCTGATCAAGTTCCCTGATGTCTTTTCTTCTTTGTTGAATCCATCCAGCTTCTCTTCATCTCTAGCGTCCCTCTCATCCATTATAAACTACTTAAAGTCGAAAACCAAACTGTTTTCATAATAGGCAAGTTCCACTATTGCAACCTATAATACCTCCAAATGTGTAGTAAGTGCTTTCTGAGACTCAACTTTGTGGGCCCTTAAAACTGCTAAGCTCAGAACAAAGGAAGAAGGAGGAGAGAGGATCACTCCAGCATCCGAGTGAAGAAAAATCTTTGGCAGGGTGTGTGAGGGAGGGGAGGGGTTAGGGAGAAGGGGGCAGGGAACTATTATAGTGGGTGGTGCCCACTGTATTTAGCCAAGCCACAGGTCTATGGAGTCTTGGAGATTACACAAGGGTAACTGCAGCTTGAGAAACAGTAGGCAACAATGTTAAGTGTGTGTGTTTATATACAAAAAATAGGCACACCGAGTATAAACAAGCACAGCACTAACAAGTAATCAATCCCGTGAAAATGAATCTGCTCAACTCCTCAATGGCCTTTAATATCACATGTGTCATTCTCTTTCACTACAAAACATCCAGAGTGTAACCTATTACAACAGACCAAACTAAGTCTTTTTACCTACAGTTCTTTCCCTACAACACAGCGGAAGACAGCACAGTCAGGTCCCTAAGTCCCTAAGAGGCATCAGCCTAGTCTACTAGTAAGGAAGGGATCAGGGCATTTTTCTTTCAACCTGTCAGAAAGATTCCATCTAATTATTATTATTTTTTTTTGTATGTTTGTTCCTAGGACAGCCTGACTTTCCTTCACCTGCCACATGGCATCATCTGTCTCCATCTTCAACATGTACACCAAGCTGGTGCTGGAGTTCAAGTGCAAGCACAGGAAGAGCTTCGAAGGAAACTTGAGTTGCCTACCACACCACCACCGGCGTTTCCTTCAACCGCTGCCCAGGTGCAGCCCACCCTTTGACCAGCTACCACCAGTACCACAATCAGCCCAGCCACTTTGTCTCTGAAGGAGGTGACTCTATGCAGAGCTACGCAACCAGGGATTCCAACAAGACACCAGCCAGCTGCTCAAAGAGCTGGCTGGGTCTCCTGTAGAAGAACAGTGTTAGGAGTAAGTGGGTTTTGGAGAGCCCCACCTTACATGCTTGTTGTCAACACGTGTTTAAGCCAAAGTCTGTTTCTTGAGCATGGTTTTTAGAGGTTAAGGACGAGGGTATGTCCAAGAACAAGTATAAAGTGTGTAGGGGGCAGAGAGGGGGAGAGAGGGGTTTGCCAGGTGCCACTGATCCCTTTCCCTTCACAGCTCGATCTCCTTTCACGGTCTATACCTCACGCGTTCAGATTCGTTCTCTCCTTACTCATTGTTTGTTATGTGCTGGGTTCTGGGCTAAGCAATGGAGATAAAAAAGAGGAGTAAAATGCAATTTTTTCCCTTTAGGGGCTTATCAATCTGGTCATCTGTCTCCAGTTTGAGGAATGGAGGTGGGCAAATCAGTAGTCGATGATTGTGGCTCAGTTTTGCATGGTGCCCTTGAATGTCCCAGAAGTCACAGAAGGGAAGATGAAAGCAACTCTAGGGGCTTTGACACATAGATGTCCCTCTCACTGTCTCTTACATGCTCTGCATCCACTCTGCAGACATCAAATAAAAGTTTAATTAAACATGATCCCAGAAGCCAGAAGGAGATGAATATATTCGGTTCAGTAATAATTAATGTCGTTTTCTAATACTTTTTTAAATCGAATTTATTTAAACAATACAACAAAATTTAATCAACAATATAGTTGCCGTTGTTTTCTACTACTTGTGCCCAACGCTCAGGAAGCATTTTAATCCCTCTGTTGTAAAATTCTTGTGATTTTGATGCAAAAAATTCGGTCAATGCATTTTTGAGGCATTCTTCATTATTAAATTTTTTTCCAAGAAGAAAGTTTTGCAAAGAACGAAACAAATGGTAATCGGAAGGGGCAATATCAGGAGAATATGCAGGTTGAGGGAGAACTTCCCATTCCAACTGGCGCAGTTTTTCAGCAGTGATTCTTGCAGTATGCGGTCGTGCGTTATCGTGGTAAAGAATCACGCCCTTCCGATTAATCAGCGCGGGTTCTTTTTCTCTTAAAGCTTGGGCTAACCTTTCCAATTGGGCACTATACACTGCACTTGTAATGGTTTGGTTAGATGGTAAAAGTTCATAATGAAGAATTCCTTTAAAATTCCACCAAACACACAACATCACTTTTTTCGCATGCAAGTCAGGTTTTGGCGTGGGCTGCGGAGCCTCATTTTTGTCCAACCATTGAGGCCGCCTTTTCAAATTAACATACAGCACCCATTCTTCATCTCCGGTAACAATTTGCTCTAAAAACGGCAAACGGTTTTGACGAGAGAGGAGCGAACTGCAAATTGTGACTCTTTGATTACGGTTGTTGTCGGTCAACTCATGAGGAACCCATTTTCCAAACTTTTGGACTTTGCCAAGTGCATGCAATTAATTGGAAATTGTTTTTTGTGAACAATTTAAAGTTGTCGCAAGCTCTTATTGGGTAATTTGAGGATTTTGCACCAAAAGAGCTTGAAGAGCTTCTTGATCAAAATTGGACACACGGCCTCAACCACTCTTGTCATCTAACGAAAAATTTCCCTCGCGAAATTTCTCAAACCAACGCTGGCATTTTCTGGCACTAACTGCATCTTGACCAAGAGCACTACAGATGTTTTTTGCAGCCTCACTTGCTTTTCTTCCTAATTGGAACTCGTAAAGCATGCAGTGCCGAATATGCTCTTCATCCGCCATCTTCTTAGCCCTAGTTTTGCAACAAAAAACAAACCAAACACAAACTTTTTCAAGCAAAACTTGTTAATTGCACTTCACACGTTCTGTAGATACCACGTGTTTGAAGGTTATGTCAATACAAGTCAACGCCAAGCAAGATTTTAAACAAATGTTTAAAAACGACATTAATTATTACTAGACCCATAGATGAGAAGGCTCCAACCACATGCAGGGACAGGCCCACTTCCAGAAATGGCCCACTGAGGCAGGACTATGCCTCCCCAGTGGAGAACCACACAGGAGACTTCCCCAGTGAACAGGCTGTGGGATGTGCTCCTCTCTCGATCCCCACCTTCTCACCCATCCACAAGGGAAAACATTCTTGATAGCTAAGAATGAGAATGGCACACAAGTATGTTCCTATTCATGGTATTTATTTGTTCTGTAACAGTTCACATTTTATTTATTTTTAAATCCTTATTGTGAAAGTATTACATATGTCTCTTTTTTCCCTCGTTGACCTAACAGTTCACATTTTAAATAGTACTTCCTGATGATACTCCAGCTGGCTCTTCTTTAACATGGCAATGAGGACAGCAGTTCACATTCAAGGGGTTGGTGTCATCACACCATACCAGGAAGGACAGCAGACACCATCTGGGGGGGTTGAGAGGGTTTCTAAGGGAAGGAAAGATAAGAGACTGGGAGGAGAAACACCCCTGCATTTGCAGAAGTCAGTACTGTTTCTAGGGAATTATCACATTGGCCTTGCTAAGCAGCCCCATGTTAGGAATGAGGAACGAAATCTGGGTGGGTGGTTGCCTTAGAGGAATAGTTGTTTAGAGACACACTGAACAAGAAACCTGCAGCCATACTTGTCAGATAAAGCTTCCACCATCTTTGCCACCACTTACACCTTCTGTATTGGCTGCAAGAGGGAGAGGAAACCTATAGCTAGTACCATGTTTAGCAAGGAGAGTCAAACTTACCACAGTCAAAACAATCGATGCTTATTTACAAACGCACCAAGAAGGATTTAGGGGCATTGTGTTTTCCTAGCTTCCTCTTACATTGTTTCTAGGATTCACCCAGCACAGCTACCTAAAACAATCCCCCTAAACCAGGTCCTCAGAAAACAATTCCACATGTTACTCCTGCCTAAGGAGTAAAGAGCCAGACTTAGGCCTACCATGGCTCAGCCCAGGCTGCAGGACCAGCACCCAAGTTTTAGGTATTCTGTCAACTATAAATGAGTCTTAGAATTCTTGCCGAAACCGGTTTGGCTCAATGCCGAAACCAGTTTGGCTCAATGGATAGAGCGTCGGCTTGGGGACTGAAGGACCCGGGTTCAATTCTGGTCAAGGGCATGTCCCTTGGTTGCGGGCACATCCTCAGTAGGGGGTGTGCAAGAGGCAGCTGATCGATGACTCTTTCTCATCAATGTTTCTAACTCTCTATCTCTCTCCCTTCCTCTCTGTACAAAATCAATGAAATATATTAAAAAAAAAAAAAAAAAAGATTTCTCTACTAGACCTTACTCTCATCTATCCAGGTAGATTCAAACCCTAGAAGTATATCTGGAATCACCCATACAGGGTACACTGTTAATGATCCCTCAAGTTTGTAATAAGCTTGGCCTACTCATGCCCCAACTCATGCCTTCCAAAGTGTTGAAACCAAATTTGCTTTCACAGACTTAAGGCAGGGAAGCGCCCAGAAACCTGGCAAGGCCAACCTCAGGCCAGGCTACATGTCCGAGGGGAGCTACTGCTACCAACCTTCTGTGATGTCATCATGCCTAACAATGGGGCAGTTAGTATCCCATCAATGCAGGCTCCCTAATTTCCTACAATCTCTCTCTAATCTGAATTCCTTTATTAACACAAGTTAAACAAATACGGCCTCAAGTAAAGAGAGAACCTACGTGGCACTCAGAGATGACCTAGCAAAACTATTCACTAGGGAAAGCAGTTCTCCTCCAGCTAACACGGGATCTTGGCTAAATATACAATGACCTAGTTTAGGAGAGAACTTAAGAAGGGAGAACCACTGGAGAAAAATTCTAAAGAACTTAACCAATTATAAAAGTTACAGCATTTACATAGGAATTTTTTCTCAAAATACAATGCTTCAAAGATTCTTCGAGAGAAGAGGTGTGCAGGGCAAAAGAGATGCATCCTGGGCTCAAGAGTGAGAGGAAAAGTCCAGAAACAGCTTTGCTCTCATGCAAGCAAAGCAAAAACATCCCTGAAGAAAGGAGGGCAAAAGAGAAGTGGTAAGGAGGACGCCCAGTAGAAAATGCTAAGGAGGCAGAGTAGAGATGAAGCAGAGAGGAGCGTATCTGCCTCAGTTGTTCCCGACTTCAGTTTTCCTCGATGTGGAGGACAGCATACACATAAGCACTTTCAAAGCTACTGCAGTAATAAAAAAAAAAGTCAGGACCGGCAGAACAATCAACACCACAAGGTAACATATGGCCCTCATCATTGCTCCCCTTCTGCTGGGAATATGGCGGTTCTATGGTCACTAAATACAGACATGGGAAGTGTGAGGAGACAGGATGCATAAGGAAGAGGTGAATGCTGGGGTGGCTCACCCTGGCTCCTGCTATCAGTCTTTCTCACTCTGCTGAGGGTGCAGAAAAGCCGAGGAACAGGTGGGGAAAGTATAAGGAGAGGAATGATGAGTGGCCCTGATAATCAGAGGCAGGCCATCTGGAAGCCTCAAGATGACCAAACAAACCAGATGTATTTCAGGACAAGAAACTGAGTCCCTTGAGCTTAGGAAATATCTAGAAAATATTTCATCACAATGCTGAAAACTACACACACGTGGCATGATGCAAAAAAAAAAAAAAAAAATGCTCCAGTGAGGAACTTCACTGGAATCTCCCAGCAGGAGTTTATAAGTTAGACATACAAAAAACAAAACAATTATTAGATTCACATTTCCAAACTATCCACACGGAGTGCCTAGAGGTGGGGCTTAATGCACAGGTTGAAAAAGTAGGTCAAACACCCCAACCACAGGGTTCGTGCCGTTACTGAAGAACTCCAACGTGCCTTCCGAAGGACTCTGCCACAACCACGCAGAGGTGGCGAGAGGAGGTTGAAGAAGTCTTCCTTCTCTCCAAAGCACTGATTTTATACCGACAGGAGAGAAACAGCATCCGTTCTGCTCACTTCTTCTCAAACTACAGGCTGCCTCCGACTAGATCTGGGAAAAAGGTGCAAGTATCAGCAGCTGGACTGTTCTTCATGCAGGAGAAATGGAGGAAACCTAAAGGCCAGAATCATCCTCTACTTTCCCGTTCTGTGCAGCTCCAACTGGCTGCTAAGTGTCCCTCCCATAAAGGCCCAGAAACTTTCTCTTGTTCCATGATAAGCTCTTAAACTAGACCAGTGGTCGGCAAACTCATTAGTCAACAGAGCCAAATATCAACAGTACAACGATTGGAATTTCTTTTGAGAGCCAAATTTTTTAAACTTAAACTTCTTCTAACGCCACTTCTTCAAAATAGACTTGCCTAGGCTGTGGTATTTTGTGGAAGAGCCACACTCAATGGGCCAAAGAGCCGCATGTGGCTTGCGAGCCATGGTTTGCCGACAAATGAACAAGACCACAGATGAGGGTTTTAGCATTTTGAACAAGATAACTCTAATGCAACTGCCATAAGCCCAGCATGTTAACATCACTAGCCTCTACCCAAAAAATACCAGTAGGATCTACCCTCCTCAGTCATTGGAACAATAAAAACTATGGTCCCACCAATGTCCCCTAAGGGAGATGGTACCATCTCCCTCTGAAAACAACTGAGTATCATTTCTCAGTGGTAATAAAGCACCCTTAGAAAATAACACTGGTCTGAACACTGGTCTTGACACCCAGCTACTCAAGAGGCTCCCATTCTCACTCCTTTCTAAAGATCAATGTTGAAGTTGGTAGAATTTGTTGTCCTAAACCCTCAAAAGTAACCAAATATTTGTGTCAGAAGCTATTCACCTGCAAGGGAGAATCAACAAACTTGATCCTAGAGAGGAATCGTCGCAGCTCCCCACGGCCAATTTTGGGGGTGGTCTCCTTTAGCTGGACCATTTGGCCCTCCATCAGTGCCCACCGCAGACTCAGCTTGCTGACCACCAGGGGTGCTGGATGGCCTCTGGAGCTTGGCCCCGTTGTCCTGGTAACATAAAAGGCATCTTTCCAGATGTCGTTAATTCCAACTGAGGAAGGACAAAAACAAGAGCAGTTAACAAGGACAGGAGACTTCCACTAACAGTAGAGTGGTTTGGTTCAGCAGCCAGATTCATTCATTCATTTACTCCTTCGTTAACTCATATAAGAAGTTTACTGAGCACCTAAAACACATGTGTCAAACACAAGGCCCGCGGGCCAAATCCGTCCCGCCAGGCCTTGCAATGTGGCCCGCACCGCACTGTCATCACTGCACTCCACTGCGTTTCCATCACAATGACAGTTTATGACTGTTCAGTAAACCATTCGGCCCGCGATTTAGGCTGGATTTTAGATTTTGGCCCCTTCTCTGATTGAGTTCGACACCCCTAACCTAAAAGATGCAAGACACTGAGCTAAACAGTGGGGTGCAGTGGCAAAGGGCTGGATGCCGGCAAAGCAGCACATTCTTCTGGGGTTTTGTACCATCATTTTTCCCCCCTCACAGGTATGTTTATTATTCATGCCCGCAAAGAAAGGGCACGTCTAGATACAATGTGAACCTCGTCCCCATCTAACAGCCCGGCTGACGCTCCCCGGCTGCGCACTAGGCTCAGCTGCTAGTGATGACCATGAGCAGGCGCGGGACCCAAACCTTTCAGAGCTTTAGCTTTATCATCCGCACTCCTGTGGTCTTATACACAGTGAGGCCCGTCAGCCCCATCCTCACCCAGCTCTACTACTGGGGGTAGTAGAGCTTCATGGGGACCCACACGTTTTTAATGAGGCTCTGAAACATCTCGCCAAGGACCAACGGCCCAGGCTGCCACGAAACTGCTCAGGCTGCCACGACCGCACAGCCAGCTCCTCGGGGAGGTCACTGAACGGTACCATAGTTTCTCTTCAGCTGCTTCTAAGAAAGCCCTAGGTCAGGAAACTGGAGGCTATCTCAACTATGGTGACCAGTTGGTAGAAAAGTGAGCACAACCAACTAGAAACTCTGAGAATTCCTAGATTGCCAGCACATGATCATATAAGCTATTACCTATTTCTCCTCATCTTTAAAATATGTGTTGTACTAAAAATGGTCTTGATTCTTAATTACCGTTATTAAATGTGCACGAACAGTAATTAGTATGCTAATATTAAAAAATCACTCATTTAGGTCAAATTGCAGGATTTTGTAAGCTGACAGCTCCCTAGTTAGTCCCCCACCACACACAAAGCCCGTGGACAGGCGTGCTGCAAGCTCCCGATGCATCCCGATAAGTTCAGGATGCATTCGCTTCGAACTTAAGGCAAGTAAGTTTCTACAGAGAAAGCAAGTCTCTGAAGGGCAAGAGAATATGGAAGACGTAAGGAACGTGGCCAGTCTGGTCTTCCCCATCTGCCCCAGCAGGAACAGATTCCCCAAGGCCAGCCCTGGGAACATCTGGGGCGAGACCATCAGACCCCTCCAGACTAGCAAGTAGCAGCAGCTAGGCTTTCAGGACTCAGTTTCCTGAGTTAAAGGTCCCTAATATATGACCCCAATTTGGCTATATGATACTATTTAGATACATATATGAAGTAAAGGAACACTTCCCAAATGTTAACAGTCATGATGAGTGGTCTTTTTCCCTCTGCTTCTCCTGGCTGCCATTTCTAGGCAATGGACATGTTCCCTCTCACTAGTCAAGAGAGTCTCTACTGATCCTAAACCAACGCCCTGAGAAGACAGTCTACCTCCATCATATGCCTCCAGTTAATTCTAAGTCCTGAGCTCCTAAAGAGTCAAGAAACTACTCTTATTTGTGCTCACAGCCCCTGGTGTAGTGCCTGGCATACAACTGGTGCTCAATAAACATCAGCTGAGTGAGTGGATGCATGAATCACCACCACTAAGAACCCTCTGGGGATGGGACCATACTTCCCCCTCAATGTGCAGCAGATTCAGAGGAGGTGGGTGCTCACCCCATGAACCGGGTGTGCTTCCCAGAGGGAATGCCCCCGCAATGGCCCTGGGCACCAGGGACACCAGGGAACACCCCGTGTCTGAAAGCACACATCCTCCCCTTGGGGACATGGTCTTCTCACACACAGCCAGCACATCCTCTCCCCGCTCTGTGTACACAGACTCCCACCGTCGCTGGCACTGACCCTCTGCAGCCGTCACTGTGCCCGTGGCATTGGCCAGATCCAGAAGAATGGAGGGGAACGCCGGGTGCAGGAGGTAAAGGTGGTAAAGGCTGGGTGGCTCGGTTCCCAGGAGAACATCCTAACAATGAGGAGCAAAAAGGAAAAGCAAAAGTAACTCTGCATTCCCACACGTGATGGTCCTCAGAGGAGGTTACTCGTTTCTCTCAGATGCTAAGACCTGATCCCAACTTCAAGGAGCTAGAAAGTCCCAGACATTAAGAGACATATCCCTAAGGGCTCAAAATCCTAACTCATCACTCAATTCTTCAAACCACTGTAGCTAGAAAATGCTTTCTCCCTTTTAAGAAAAAGGAAGAAAGGAAACATACATGGCCTGGGACAGAAATCTGAGGTAGAGACCTCACAGTCTCCCCATCTGGGAGCACTGGGTGCTGGTCACCCCCTGCAGCAGGAGGGTGTGTGTGTGTGTGTGTGTGCGCACACAGCCATTATCTCTGTAAGAAAACATGCCAATGAGGTTTCATCTCATTGGATACTGAAGCCAAATGCCAAGTGTCAGGATGGGAGTCACAAAAATCTTATTTACAGAAATAAAGAGAAGGCTGACCAGACAGAGCACGTCATTAATTATAAAACAAAAACTGCAAGGCCTGAGGGTCAGTCTCCAAGCTCTCCGTAGCAGGAGAAATGCACACTGGGACTTCCTTTAACAGAGTAACTGCTGTGCACGAACGATATCCGGCAGGAGCATGCGGGGCAGCCATGCAGTTGCTACAGCACAGAAATGCCGGCACGGGTTAGTGAACGGCTGCTCTACAGAGCTCCTTGGGATCCTCTTGGGTCTCCCCTCGAGGAGGAAGTGAAACCCTGAAAAATGACTATCCCCCCTGCTTCCATATTGTCAGCTCGGGAAGAAGTCCACTGAGGAGAAGCGTGGGCGGGAGGCCGGTGGCCACCACACTCCCACCACACGCTCACAAAGCAGAAGAGGGCTTTTCCCCGCACCCTTAGGGCCCAGGCATGATGGGGCCAATCTCTGGCTTAGCTACCAGGACAAGAGAACAGCGAACTCCTTCCTCACCACCTTCAGCACAGGCCCAAATTCCTTGGCAAGAAAACCCATAAATGGTCTTACACCATTTAATCCAAATCTGCCATCTCCAGCCTCCTCCCACAATTACTTACCTGCCCACCCCATGCTTCAAGAATGTCTGGTGACTACCTAAACACATGTTCCACTTTGCTCTAACTTCTCATCTTACTGCCTGCCCTCCCACAGACTAACTCCCCTACCCAGCTCCTGCTAGAATACTGTGTGTCCTTAAGAACCCACCTTGAATGCCACCTCTTTCCTGAAAAACTCTCTAATCTCCCAGACAAAATGGGTATCTCCTTTTGCTTCCACTTAAAATTCTTACTTGTGTTTTCTATTCCCACATTTGTAACATGCCTTTTGTTATTTTCAGATGCTTACATGTGCGTCATCTGGTCCAATCCCCTCATTTTATTACATGAGAAAACACCAAAAGTTAAAATGTTAGGTAAACTGCCCATGGTCACAAGTTAGGGACTAGCAGAGTGACGTATAATCTTGATGTTAAGCCAATCTGATCCTCAATAAGATGGAATATATTAGCACTGTCATTCACAGATAAAGAGCTCAAAGCTCAGAAAAGTTAACTGACTCATCTGACAGCACACAGTTGGTGAGTTCAGGACTCTTCCTCCTCGGTCTCTGCATGCCCCCATCATTGGGAACCATTTCTCCTCTCTAAAGGTGCAGCACTGTTTCCAGTCTATCCTTAGGTCCCTACAGAGAACATGGTACCTGACACAGAGTAGGTACTGGTCAACCTGTGTTGAATGAAATCAAGGTGGGTCTCCCTAAAAACTTATCAGCACATTGCCGAAACCGGTTTGGCTCAGTGGATAGAGCGTCGGCCTGGGGACTGAAAGGTCCCAGGTTCGATTCCGGTCAAGGGCATGTACCTTGGTTGCAGGCACATCCCCAGTAGGGGGTGTGCAAGAGGCAGCTGATCAATGATTCTCTCTCATTGATGTTTCTAACTATCCCTCTCTCTTCCTCTCTGTGAAAAATCAATAAAATATATTTTAAAAATAAAAATAAAAACTTATCAGCACCTCTTATTCTACCTGACTCATCGATAAAATACCACAAAATAGCATGTAAGACTTCCTAAAATCCGCCTTCTGGTGTATCAGATCTTCTCTCCCACAATCTCCCCAAGTGAACTCTCACGTCAGCCGAGCAGAGCCCCTCTGTGTGGCAGCAGCCAAGGGGCTGTGGTCGGCTGCCCTGCGGCGTGGCTGAAAGGCAAAGGCATGAAGCAGAGCTCGGGAGGAAGCAGGCTCCTGCTCTGCCCACTCGAAGGCTGCTTTGTTCTACCCACAACCACGTGCAGGTGTGGCTGTCTAATGACACCTTCAGACCCAGCCAGCCCCACCGAGCAGCCACCACCCGGCAGAGTGACAGAGGGATCCTCCCAGGCTCACTCACGGAATTGGAGGGGGCAGCTGGCAGCCCTTCAGCCCAAAAGAGGAAGACGGACTTCTGGTCCGAAGTAACTGCGGAGGTGGTTGGTGTTCTTTTCAAGTGACTTGGAGCGGTGTAATTCCAAATAACAGAGCCAGAGTCCCCATCCACCACCATCATCTGTGAGAGAGAAGACAGTGAGGAGAGCCCATCCTCAGAAGGGCAGCAGGTCCAAGGAACACACACACACACACACACACACACACACACACACACACAAATAATATTTATGAACAGGCTGAAACAGACGCCAACAGCATCGCCTCCCTCCTGCTCCTTCCCTCTTGCAGCGGCAGCAATGCTTCAGAACCATGATTAAGTGAACGCCGTCTCCTGTACGCTGTGCTGAGAGCTTCCGTGGCATGCGTAGCTCAGCCCTAGGGTAGTCTCAAATTTTAAAGAGCACCGTCCAAACAGGCAAAACATAAATCAAGAGAAAATGTACTCCTTAGCTGCATCTCTCAAAGGATAATTAAAGAAACTGAATTCATAAACCCTGGCATATTGCTCCTTTCCCCGTGAACACCTCACACCCAACAGTTCTAGCGCCTGTCACCTGCCAAAACTCCCCTGTCTGCCTCTAGCCCAGTGTCTTTCACCCTTTCTCCTCAGTGTCTCTGCTCCTCAGTGTGTGGAAAGGCTACATACACCTCTTTCTACCATCACTTCCCTGTTCTTCCCGTCTCTAGGGGCCCGCTCTTCTCTGCCCATGCTCAGACTCAGCCTCGCATAGGTCCTAGGCTAGGGAGACAAACTCCTCTGAGTGAGCAGACAGGAAAATGGGCTCAGAGTTCCAGTATTCCCTTTCACAGTCTTTGGAAGAAACAAAGTCTAGAGACACAGCACTGAACAATTTTATCCAGTCATGCGTATTATCTCACTTAGCTGCGTATTATCTCACTTATCTCACTTAAACCTGTGAAGTAGTGGGCAGTGTTGTTACCCATTTTACAGATGCAGAAACTACAGGTAGGCAAAATTATGTAATTGGCCTAAGGTCACCAATAAACAGTGGAGCCAGGATTAAAAACCAAGTCTTAACCACCCTACTGTATGTGTGTGTGTGTATATAGATAGATAGATAGATAGATATAGATAGATATAGATATATATACCCTCTCCCTCAATCCTGCCAGGAATGCCAATGAACATTCCAATCTCTACCTTAAGTTCCTTGGAAAGACAATCAGACATTGCTTCTGGAAGGCTCTCCCTGAACTGACACTTGATCACAGGATCCGTCCTCTGCTCGTGACCCAAAAACCCTACTGCGTCCACACCTCATCCAAAGTCTGCAGCTTTGCTTTCAACTGACTTCATCCTGACCTCTCTGGTGGGAACCCTCAGCCCATCCTTATCTGTCCATCGGGCAAACCTCTTCTCTGCCCCCATGATTCTGCACATCCGACCCCCCGACCACCACACTCCATGAAGCGTCTCTTGACTTTTTCATTCCATCTGCTCTCCACGTCCCCGCAGCAGTGTGAGCCTCCGTTACAGCACAACGTGGCAGAGCTGTGTACGAACAGCCCCCCGATTACTCTGAGTTACAGACAGTGGCCTGGCCTTCATTCACGCTGTGTCCTCCACAGACATCATCTGGGAATCCAGCACAGAATTTGGCACACTTGAGAGGTGATGAATTCGCTCTCAGGGAACAGTGTGCAATATATAGATACATATTTTACAGTGAAGATAAACCAAAAAGCTAGGTCAATTGTAAAAATGAAAACTCTTGTTCTGCTTCTAATGTTCAAGAAATGAAAACTGCCTATCCAATCATTATTTCCTCACATTATGCAATCTCATGTAAAATGAGAAAGAACTATTCCGTGTCCTTGGGACAGGCCATGCCTTTCTGTCTGGGCCTCTGGTCTTGGTGTTCCCGGCCTGGCATGCTTCCCCATCCGCCCCTCTCACAGGATATAACTCAACTTTCAAGTCCCTGCTCATCCTTCCCTCTTCTATAAAGTCCTCCATAACAACCTAGCCCCCACAGACATCTGCCTTCGCTAAAATCTTAGGTGTATATTGGATGTACAGAAGTATTACATGTATTTATGCCTGCCTTCCCCCATGTCAGAAGGCTCCTACTGCTTCGCTGTAAGTGAGGAACCCACGAGAAGGTCTTCTGTGCAGGAAGAAGGTTAGCCAGAAAAGCTTCCGATGCTACAGACTTGAGAACCGAGTTGTGAGTATTCACTTTATCCGTTCAGCTAGACTTTAGTTCTTTGAAGGAAGGAACATATTTTGGCTTCTCTTTATTTCTCCCAGTGCCTAGCGCAGAGCTGCGCACAATGCACAGTGCATATCCTTTATATGTGTTTTGATTGATTTGAGTCCCAAGGATTTACCTTTTTCATCCCGACTCCATCCTGTATCTGCAGGAGGAAGTCTAACGTCTGATCATCAGTGAAATACCCAGGTGTGGGCTGGCTACAAATGAAAACAAGTCAACAGAGCGGACAGTGAGAAAACAAGAAAAACAAGGACCTCCTTCCCTCCCTTCTCCTGCATCAGCCCCAGATACCAAACAATTGCTCTGGGCAGTTTTTAAACACAGGAAGGTGGTTCAAAGCGGCAAACATGAGGAGGAGTGCATGCTAACCTGGGTAGGCCTGGAAGACTCAGGGTCCAGTGTGGTGTGAGGTTCTGCCCCCGGAGCAGGACCAGGGCCTGTCTGGTTGTGATCAGGAGGTTGCTGCAGTTGGAATCCGGTGCCTTCACCATCTGGAGCAGCTCAACACCGTCGCTGAATCACCAAGATCCCGACAGTCAGTCTCTGGATTAGATGAGGCTCCTGACCCACCTGTTCTGTCCTTTTCTCTTGGTACACACATTTGTATAACTTCTATATTCACCTCCCACCATTAGGGGAAGTCTGCCATTCAGCAAACTCTCATTTTCCTGACCTTTAGAAACCAGGAATCCCTAGAAAATCCACGCAAGTTCATAAGGAACTCACAGAGGTGCCAAATACCACTCACATTGGACACTCTGGGAAAGAAAACAGAGCCAAAGAGCGTCAGGGAAGGGAGGTGCAGATCTGAGCAGGAGTCCTGATATTGCCATTAAACATGGACAGCGACTCCTGGTAAATATACACTGCATCACATTATTTCTTTCTCTGTACAACTGGGACCATTTTATTTAACATCTGTCCAATTCACTGGAACCATAGGACACTGCCTCCGAAAATTATTGAAAACTCCTAGTATTAAAGAATGAAGACAGTTATTACTAAATGGGTAAAATCCACTGCATGTGACAAACAAACTACATGCTTTTAGTTAAGAAGGAAACAAAAATAAAAAGTAAGATTTCATGAATGTTACTCTTGCTTCTGCCAAAATGATTCTTCAACTAAGAAAAAAAAATAGAGGGAAAGTAGGGTAGATATGTCAGCAGTTTGACAGTTATTTTAAGTAAACCTATCTCACAAGTGCCTGGCTAGCTCAGTTGGTAGAGCATGAGACTCTTAAATAAACCTATCTCCCTAATTTAAAGTTCCCCAGCCTCACACTGACTCAGAACCTAAACAAATATCCTTCTTCCCAACCTACGTGCAAAGGAATCACACATCATCATCACTAACACACAGATATCAACACAGTATGTTATCAGGAAAATTCCTCACTCACTTTAACCAAATCAGAAGGTAATAACTTAAGACTATCACTGCCTCCCCCAAAACCTCTGCCCACATATTCACCAGCCCAACCAAACGCAGACTCCATGGCATGTGAGAGCTTGAAACCTCAATGACAAGGTCCTACCTGTAAATGTCAATGAGTTCTGACAGGTTGATGGATCGTCGCTTCTCCCATTCGGGCTCTTCCGTCTGCAGAGAAGGTGGCGCGCTGTCTCGATTTTGGGCCTGAACAAAAATGTCCCGCAGGGTGACAGCTTGGATATTTCCTAGCACCACAGGAAGAGCCAACACTGAGAAGCTGAATCGAATAGACCTCCCCCAGGATGAGGATCTGAGAGAGACTTAGAGCCTGATGAGATGGGTCTACCTAGCTCTCCCCCCCACCCCTACCCCAGACAAGTCCAACAAGGAGTGAACTGGGAAGTGATTTTATAGATGCTGGACAAAGAATCTTCTCTTTGGAGAAGGCACCAAAGGGGAAGCAGAGTGAGTGACCTGCAACAGGTGGGACAGTGAGCACTCCCTCCTACAGGAGGTGATGAAAGGGCTGGTGTCAGCAATTCCTCAGCTTTCACCCAGTCTCACAAAAGAGGCCTAATCACCTACATCTACTGGGAACAGTAGCAAACACCAGCCTCGCTTCTTACCAAAGCCAAACAGGATGTAGACAGCCCCATTTGCAGTGATGTAGACCTGAGGACCAATGAGATTCCCCACTCCTACGATGTTGTACTTCACAGCTCGGCCCACTGGACTCCCTGTCCGGCCAGACACCAGCAGAAAGCACAGATCCTGCTGAAGAATTGAAAGAAGGGGGTCCAGTCAACAGAAGCCCTGTTGTTTCCCAATCAAACAGTTTCTCCACATAGTCATTGCTTCATTGTTAGCTAAGGATTCAGAAACACTTTCCTGGTTGGAAAGCACCAAGCCAAAACTGCTTTACTTTATTCCCTGGAAGGAAGAAAGAGAGGCAACTGTCCCCTCCCCTTGTTAGACACCCGCAGAGGGCATGTTGACAGTAGCTCAGGCAATTTCTCTGAAGTGCAGTTTTGGCTGATGGACAGTCTCTTGAGACCAGAATTCTAGCCCAGAGCTAAACACAGGACAGCTGACCCCTGGTCTCTGCTCTCATAGCCAGAAATCCCCAGTAATATTTGGTCCCAGCAAGAATCAATACAGATACTGATCTCCGATCATAACATCACACACATGACCTGGCCACTCTCAACCTTACACTCAATCAAAGATGGGCAAACTTTCTGTGAAAGGCCAGATGGTTAATACTTTAGGTTCTGTGAGCCAAATGTTTCTGTAGTAACTACACGACTACTACAGTGTGAAAGCAGCCATAGGTAATATATAAATGTGTTCCAATAAAACTTTATTTATAAAAACAAGCAATGGGCCAAATCTGGCCTGCAGGCTTTTGGGGAGAATCACTGGTTGGGAAATATGAGGACTGTATCAATATCCTGACCTCAGTAAAGCTTTTGATGAAGTTTATCATCCTGAGTTCTTATGTATAAGATAAAGACAAGTGATTTCAGTGTACCCGAGGAGGAGTCAGTGACATACAGAGGGAGGTTTTAGTGGAATGTCACAGCACTCTGCTTTTGTCCCAGTCCTATTCGTCGTTCCTATCAAGGCCATGGGTTTGATTGGACACAATACAAACCAAATCTGATTTGGCCATAGATTGTAAAAATAATAACATTACCACAGTAAGTCTATAACAAGGCCACAAAACTACAAAGTGATAATTATTCGGAACTCACACACAGATCTGTCTGGTTGCAAAGCTCCACCTGCCATAGTTAATGGAGCCATAATGAGACTGCCAGGGAAATGGGTTCATAATGGTAATTTATCCAGTTAAACTGACAAAGCAAACTTATTTAAAGCTAAGCCCTTGTAATAAGAGGTTTCGAGCAGCATTTCTAACAGCAACACTAGGAACCAACTAAAGTAGAAGTGCTCCCAGTAGGAAACACAAGAGCCATTTTATAGAGCATACCTGTGATTCCCCAACAGCCAGAACCACAAGATCTCGAACGCCATCTTCGTCCACATCTGGCAGTACCACCCCTGGGGCAGCCAGGGTGCCGTTGGATAGGTAGTTTGGGTGTAAAGTCCAAATGGCTTTCCCTAGGGAAGGACAATAGGCTGATCACAATGATGGCTCTCTGCCTCCTGAAAAGGCTGGCCACGACGCTCTCAGGCCAGAAAAGAGAAACTCGGTGGCTGAACAACAGATAGTAACTCCTACTTCCCTTTTTCCTTTCTGGGAGGAATGGAGCAGAGAGTGTGAGATGAAATCCCCAAGTGCCTCGCTAACAAGCCCATGTAATAATCTCACACCTGGACGTTTTAGATAAATAGAGGTACTGACATCTCCCCAAGAGAGAGGAGCCCACTTGCTGGGTCAGAGGAATTGATCTGAGATTATTACAACTATTAAGGAACCACCAGGGCAGCCAACCAGAAAACCAACTCTCTCTCCTATCCTGTGTTCACCTGAGTAGAGAAATCAATCATGGATTTTCAACATGACCTCAGCTCTAGAGTTAACTCTCAGGCAAACCTTTTCCATTCAGAAGTACCCAGGACCAAACTCCAACCTCTAAAATTGGGAAGGATGATATTTATTCAGTCCAAGGTGTTAACAAGCATATCAACTCTGTAAAGAGCCTTCATTACATGTGATTCTTTTTCATACCTTTTGTCATGTATGTCTAAATGCAATAGGAAGATTAACAGCCAAACAACATGCCTCAACAAATCTTACTTTCTTCACTGACATATTTTTAATTAGTTGTTGCCCAGGTTCACACACGCCACCTCAAAGCTATCAAATAGGAAGAGGCAATGCTCAGCTGTCTTTTGTGGAAAGAACAGAGTAGGGAGACTATCTAGAAGCCAAAGGCCTCAAGGTAGTTTCTGTTTGAGCTACACTGTGGACCTAGCACTCAACCTATTCCCACCCTTCCTGTTATCTCCCTAAAATAACCGCCTTCCAAGGCAGTAAATCAGATTTTCCACCATGTGAGAGTGGAAGCTCCTCCTCTACCAGACCGTTCTAATCCGAGACCAGGGCTCACTGGAGCAGAGAGCTCTTGTGGCAAATGATCTTCACCTGATGTCGCATTGAATGCGCTGAACATCTTGTGCATCCCTGTCACAAGGCAGATGGTCCCGGCCACGCTTCCTGGCATCAGATCCAAACATGTAATATCTCGAGCCTCCTCAGGGAGTGGACTAGACCAGAGCGTGCTCCCGTTCATCCCCGAAAGGCACACGAGAACAGCAGGAGGCCTTGAGACACCTAAAAGCACACAAAAGAGAGGAGAAATGAAAGGAGGCAGAGGAAAGAAGTAGAGATGAGCAGGAGGCCAGAAAACCAAAAGTAAATGGTGGTGAGGCAGCAACCCACACCTGGGTACTTGGCTCCCTCCCATATTTCTGGTAACAAGGCTTTCCTGTCCTGTCTGTTCAACACATCTTGTCCAGGACAAGAGCCCTGGACCTCCTCCAGGCTGCCTTATGCAACTGCATGCTTGCACCTCTCCCGATACCTTTGTTCCCATGCCTGTCACCTGAGCCCAACAAAATACTGACATCCTTAAGGATAAAGACTGTTGCATTAATTTCTGTACATGCAGTACCTTACAAAATACTGGTGCATAGCAACCAATTGTTGTCTGAATAAAGACAGGAACAAAACAAAAAATTTGAGAATATGAAAAAGTTGAGAACAACAACAAAAAAAAACAGGAGGGAAAAGTATACCATATTTTTCGGACCATAAGACGCACTTTTTCCCCCCCATAAGTGGGGGGGAAAAGTCCCTGCGTCTTATGGTCCAAATATAGCCTACACATATACTTTAAAAAATAAGTTTTTTTACTTGCCCGGCTCTGTGTAGTCTCTGTGTGCTTACCCGGCTCTAAAATGGTTCTAAATGCTGCTGTTTACTTTACAGGGTTGATTACATGTGTTTATGACTGTGATGTTGGGTTTTAATGCACATAAAATATTTTAGGACACTATTTGTTTCAGAATCTTTTTTTCTTCATTTCCCTTCTCTAAAAACTGGTGCGTCTTATGGTCCGGAACATCTTATGGTCCGAAAAATACGGTACTCAGAAAAATGAGGCTACTAAACTAGATCATCTGCAGAGCAGGGAGGAAAATACCTGAATTTTAATTATCACTAGCAAATGCTCCCTGAGGACAGAAAAATTATTTGTTTAAATAAACCTTAAGATTACACTTAACAACAATCAGTAGGTAGATCTTCCTGGCCTAAAGTTCATTGGAATCATCTGATTTGGCCCCAATCAGAAAAAAAAAAAAATACTAGCGGGGCATATTTATACCTAGGTCAGTGGTCGGCAAACTCATTAGTCAACAGAGCCAAATATCAACAGTACAACGATTGGAATTTCTTTTGAGAGCCAAATTTTTAAAACTTAAACTTCTCCTAACGCCACTTCTTCAAAATAGACTCACCCAGGCCGTAGTATTTGTGGAAAAGCCACAGTCAAGTGGCCAAAGAGCTGCATGTGGCTCACGAGCCACAGTTTGCCGACCACTGACGTAAGTTCAAGGATAGCTGGTAAAGGATTGGAGCAGCTAACGTCATTAATAAGTAATCTTTCATGTCAATCCAAAGCAGAGAGTAATGTTCTCTGGTGCCAGTTTTACATTCACTTTCAGTACTGACCCATCTCTCACACTTTCCACCTTCAGCAACAACTAACACAGCTTTGGGGGCCCTAGTCCTCAGTGCTGCTGATTAAAATCACAACCTGAAAACAAGAGTCAAACTGTAGCTCACAGTTCCAGCCTTGGTTGCCAGAAGCAGTGGCACCCATGACAAGTCATGGTGATAAATGTTAGCATTCTGACTTCTCACGGATGCTCTGGCATACTGTGCTACCCTTCCCCTGAGGGGCCCTACTGACTCTACATCAATTCTCTGACATCTTTTTCTAGATGGTGATGGGTTATCCCTTACCCATTAGTCCATGACTCCCTCAGGCAAAGACCACACTCATTTTGTTTAGATCAATATAACCAGCAGAGCTCTGCGTAAGGTACACAGCAGGCATTCAATAAGTAATCACTGAATGAATGGATGGACAACAGAACAAACAAATAAAAACACAATCCTTCTTATGTTCAGGGGCACAGAGCTTTGAACCTGGGGTTAAGGGCAGCAATTTGATATAAGGGTCAAAAAACATGAACTCCAACGCCAGACTTCCAGGATTTGGGTCCTAGCTCTGCCATTTATCAGCTGGGGGACACTGGGCAAGTTCCTTAGCCTCACTATGCCTCAGTTTCCTCATCTGCAAACAGGGAATAATTATATCGTCTATCTCATGGGACTGAGATAAGGTATAAATTCTTCCATAATAAATGTTATAGACTTCATATGGTGCATAGCACATACGTTAGTGATGTTATTATTTTTACAATCTATGGCCAAATCAGGCTAGTTTGTACTGTATCCAACTTAAACCCATGAGCTTGTCACTATGAATCCTGATATGTAGCAAACCATCAAATAACAAATGACCAAAAAGAAATCTCTAAATCTAAGCGTGGATGGGAGAAATTTTTACTTCAAAGCCCAGCTAATGAGACATAAGCAGAAAAAAATATAACTCAGCTTCAATCACATAGTCAGCTTTTTGCCTGGAGTTTCTCTCTGTAACAGATCTATCCCCATATGGCTTCTGTTTTGTGCACAAGCCCCAAAAAGGTATTTCTTATAAGAGGAGGACATAGCCTAGAATTTTCTAGAATAGACTTGGATGTTTATTCCAGGGCCTGAATGATTAAAAAATAGTCACTAGTGCATCCTCAACCTCAACCTTGAGTTCCTATCTCAGCTCACAGACTATAGTTCTAATCCCCTTTAACGGAGGCCGCAAGACAAGCCAAACCTCCCGTGGGCCTATGCTGAAAACCAACACCTTTTTTTTTTCCTTTCGCAGTTTACCTGTGTAACAGACACTCAATTAGGGTAGGTTGTGTAAGGTTCACTAAGGAGATAAGATGTGGTCAGGGTATAGGAAAACCACCAGGAATAGTAAAGCCCTCATACTATAAAGCCCCCCAGGCCCAGAGGGACAGTAGAGGAAGTGATTACTGGAACCCAGAAAAAGCAAGTCCTGTAAGAGGACCACCTTGGCAGGAGCTGCGATCTGTAATCAAGGACATAGCCAGGCTGAGGTAATCTGGCAGGGAGGAAACCAGAGAACCAGAGGAATTCTCTCATTCATTGTCTCTCTCCTCTCTCTCTCTCTCTCTCTCTCTCTCTCTCTCTCTCTCTCTCTCTCTCTCATTGGAAGTCCACAGCCAAGGGAGACCCTTGACATAATCATGCATGATCCTCCCCAATTAGAAAGCAGAAAGGAGCCGAGACCGGTTTGGCTCAATGGATAGAGCGTCGGCTTGGGGACTGAAAGGTCCCAGGTTCGATTCCGGTCAAGGGCATGTACCTTGGTTGCGGGCATATCCCCTGTGGGGGGTGTGCAGGAGGCAGCTGATCGATGACTCATTGATGTTTCTGGCTCTCTATCTCTCTCCCTTCCTTTCTGTACAAAATCAATAAAATATATTAAGAAAGAAAGAAAGAAAGAAAGAAAGAAAGAAAGAAAGAAAGAAAGAAAGAAAGAAAGAAAGCAAGCAGAAAGGAGAACAGAGACAAAGGGAATAAGCAGAAGGAGTAAAAGGAGTATCAGTCACAAAAGAATCACAGGGATGTAAACAGAAGAAGTAAGTGTGATATATTAGTACTAGAGGCCCAGTGCACGAATTAGTGCACCAGTGGGGTTCCTCGGCCTGGTCTGTGGGATTAGATGGAAACTGGCTCTCATCCCCCAAGAGGTCCCAGATTGCCAAGGAGTGCAGACCAGGCTGAGGAACCTCACTGGTGCAAGGGCAGGGGAGGGATGCAGGAGGTTGGCCAGCCAGAGAGGGATTGTGGGAGGGCTCCAGGGTATGTCTGGCCCAACTCATTCAGTCCTGATCAGCTGGACCCCAGCAGCAAGCTAAACTACCGGTCGGAGTGTATCTGATCAGTGCACATCATAGGTAGTGGTTGAGCAGCCTTAGCATATCATTAGCATGTTACTCTTTGATTGGCTGACCGACCAACAGGTCAACCAGACACTTAGCATATTAGGCTTTTATTATATAAGATGTGAACAAAAGTTTTCTGCCGGGATGGGGAGATAGGAGAGTCAACATTTACTGTAATCTAAGAGGCAATGGAAAACAGACAGGGAGAAAACTCAAGAAACCGCAGTACTAATGCTGAGCGCTACAGACATGTGGGCAAGTCGCTTCCTCTCTGGTCAGCTTCCTCCCTGGACTGGTGACCACGAAGAGTTCCTCCCAGCTGCAGGGCTCAATGGTTCCTTGACTGAGTGGTGTTTAGAAGCAGGAACTTCCTGCTGGGGGTTATCTTGTGTGACAGCTCATGGTGCCTTCCTATGGTGGGGAGACCCTTTCCTACATGGCCCCTGGGGAGAAGCTTTCTGGCCAATCACTGAGCTTCTCCTGGAGCAGCCTCTAAAAGACATCTCTTGCCGAAACCGGTTTGGCTCAGTGGATAGAGCATCAGCCTGCAGAATGAAAGTTTCTGGGTTCGATTCCGGTCAAGGCCATGTACCTTGGTTGCGGGCACATCCCCAGTAGGGGGTGTGCAAGAGGCAGCTGATCGATGATTTTCTCTCATCGATGTTTCTAGGTCTCTATCCCTCTCACTTCCTCTGTAAAAAAATCAATAAAATATATATTTTTTTAAGTTATAAAAATAAATAAATAAAAGACACGTCTCTTACCGATGGCACTGCCATTCCGTGAAGTTACAAAGGAGAGAAGCACATCCCGCAGGCCATCTCCATTCACATCAGCCAACGCCAATGGAGACAGGTCCCCACCTGATAAACACATTAAAAAAAATCCTTAGCAACTTGCCACAAACTAGTTAAAAAAAGAAAGGGATGCATAGTGCCAGTCCTTCATAAAAAACAGGCTGACTTTCAGTTCCTAGATGAGAGAGTAGATACAATTCTGCCTATCCCTCTCACTGAGTACAGCTAAAATCCCTGGGCACTATACATAAAGCAAATACGAGAAGACTCTGGAAGGTCTGGCCAGGCCTTGAGCCTTACTTTTCTCTTTAAATCACCCTTCCTACAGCTTGCTGTCCCCTGAACAGTGTTGGCTGCATAGCAGGTACCCAGCAAGCCAATGCTCTGTCCTGTCTACATCTAATTAAGACCAATGCCAACACCTCTCTGTGTCTATGAGTCTGTTTCAATTTTGTTCGTTCATTTATTTTGTTCTTTGGAGTCCACATGTAAGTGAAATCACATGGTATTTGTCTTTCTCTGATTTATTTCACTGAGCCTAATACCCTCTATGTCCATGCTATTGCAAATGATAAGATTTCATTATTTTTCATGGCCAAGTAATATTCCATTGTATTAAGAAGTACAAATTGGCAGTCACAAAAGAGCCACAGGGGTATAAAGTACAACGTAGGGAATATAGTCAATAATATCGTAGTAACTATGTATGGTGCCAGGTGGGTACTAGAAATAGTAGGGAGAACACTTTGTAAAGCATATGATTGCCTAACCACTATGCTGTACACCTAAAACCAATACAAAATGATATTAAAACTAAATTGTAATTGAAAAATACAATGCCAAACAGAAACACAACAAAGCAGTGATCTTCCCAAGTTTTCTGAACTGTATCAATCCATCTTTTTGTTTTACTTCCAATCTTAACCTCCTGAAGGCAGCTCTACACACAGGAGGAGAAATGCTATGTGACACACGTTAAAGACTTGGAGGAACTTTTCAATGCAATCAGAAGCTTTGCAGACTTAGGGATAAAAATCCTGCAACTCACCTCCCTGGGGGCCCAAGTGGCGGCTCCAGGTGCTGTGCAGATCTCTGGGGGGGCAGGGGATCAGGAACGCACATACGAGCACCAGGACCATCGAGATCACCAAGGTCAGCAGAAACACAGATGTGCGTACGTAGGACACGAGGGAAGAGGTTGTCTTCTGCTCCAGGCCTCCGAGGGGTTCCGAGGGGTACCCCTCTGCGGGGCCCTCTGAAACACGTGGCTTTGCGGCCCCTGCCACCTCAGCATCTGAGTCAGGCTCTGGGGCTTCCCCCAGAGCACTCTTCCCATTTTTGACCCCTCCGTTCTTCTGCTGCAAGTCAAGCACAAGATCGTCCTCACTCTCATCACTGTCGGCCTGCGTAAGGGGATCATACTCCCCTAGGTCTGGGCTCTTCTTCCCTGAAAAGACAGAAAGAGAGGGCTTCACAGAGGAGCAAGGAAGGAGGAATCCTCACCAAGCACATGGCAACTGCAAATACCTAGGGAAACACACGGAACTAAGCAAACCGAAACAAATCTAGACTTATAACCTTGGACCTTCATGGCTCTGCAAAACAGACATGAGCATGGAGGAAAGGATGGGGGAGGGGAGAAATCACCATGTTCTAGAATCATTGCTCTCAGGAGTTTAAGAAACTGGAAAAGAAATGGAGAAAGAAAATTTCAAATATCTTTTTAGGTTTTTTGTTTTTGTTGTTTTAAACTCTCCTAATTTGTTTGAATCTCACTAATGAAAAAAAAAAACAAAAAAAAAAAAAACATGGTTCTTATATCATCAAACTTCCATGTGCCTAATATGAATATTCTGTTTGCTGTTCTTAGATAGGTGATGTTCTTATCTTTCCTGGAACTTCCCTAAACCTTTAGAATAATGATTCTCTTTACATTGCTTCTCACAGTCCAATATTTGTAGCTTCCTAATTGTTTCTATGAAACAATTTAGAAAGTTGAACACCAAATGCCACCTGGTCATTTTCACTGGAAATTCACTCCTAGGAACCTCACTGGGATTCCAATGCCTTTCAGTACATGTTTCAGTCAACAGTGTTTCTCTAAAAATGCTATTCTGAGCACATATTCCAGGAGGGAAAAGGAACACAGAGGTAAAGGACTTGTCTTGAAGTTGATTTACACAACAAGAACCTGTTTTTACTTAAACCTTATGTTTATTTGGGGGTGGTAAAGAGGCGGAAATTACAGGAGGGCTTAAGCACACCTCCTTGCAAGCCACCCCTTGGCCCTCGATGCCAATGACTGAATGAGTTTCTGCCTTTATTTCATTTTATAACCAAGTAAAAAACAAGAAAAAGTTTCTGTTTTGGAAATTACCTTGTAACAACTAATGTAAATGTTACTTTAAATCTTTTGCTAAGAAGAAATATTAAAAAATCTAATTAAAAAGGGAAAAAGAAGAATCCTTGATCCTAATCTCTGTCTCTGGTCACTGTGATCTTGGTGATGTCACTTCCTACATTATGTTTTAGTTTGCTCAAGATGTGAAATGAAGCAATACAACACTATAGGGAGACCCATATGGGAAGTAAAGTCTTTAGTGTAAAGTTTAGTGTTTGGTACATAAAAAGTCAATAAATACTTGATTAAAAAATGAACATTCCACAGAATAATTTTATTAACATTAAGTACTTTGCAAAACACACACACACACACAGAAAATACTGAGTAATCTGGCAGTCTGTTAACTACAGATTTATATATATTTTCTTCAAAGCTATTCATTTTGTCTGATAAATATTATATTTGATTTTAAAGGCAAAAATTATTTTTTAAAAACAGCTTTTAGGAATTTCATTCAGAATAGTATTTCAGGATATGCCATAGAGTCACTACAGGTTCAAGCTAATCTCATCTAGTTTATATATCACCCAGAGGCCTGCTGCACAAAATTCGTGCAAAGGAGTCAGCCTGCAGCCCTCGCAGCCCCTCGCAGCCCCTCGCAGCATTGGCCAGCCCTCACAGCCCCAGCTTCGTCCGGAAGGTCATCTGGACGGTCGTTCTGCTACTTGGTCTAATTAGCATATTGGCTCTTTATTATATAGAAGGATTCTATGAGCCAAATTATTTTATTAATTAGGGCATTTCATGCCCTAACCATCTCAAGTAACTTGATAATAATTTACAAACAGAACCACAGGTTGTTGTAATAACAGTAACCCTACTATTTTTCTAAGTGCTTCTTTTAACTAAATTAATATACCTAATAGGATCTTTAAAATGTCCTATATACAAAAATGGGTATTATTCAGCCCATAGGAAATTCTGACACAATGGATCTTCAGTACATTACACTAAATGAAATAATCCAGTTACAAAAAACAAACAAAAAAAAACTATGATTCCACGTATATGTAGTCAAATTCACAGAAACAGAAAGTGGAATTGTGGTTTCTATCCTCACAAGAAGCAGGCTGTCAGCATAGCAGGTTAGAAAAGCATCTGTGATGCAGTCAGTTGAGAAGAGGTGGATTTTTTTTTTTTTTTTTGATAGTCTGGATCCAATTAAGAGACAGAAACCAGACAGTAATTCAAAGAGGACAAGTTTAATAGAAGGACAGGGGAAGAAAACTCTAAAAGGCAGCATACAATTGAAAAGAGAGGGCTAAAGAAGGACAAAGTTGACATTTAAAGGGCCCAGATCCACTTTCACACATCAGGCAGCAAAGGTGAATTTGGAGTTCAGGGGCAATATACCAACCACAAAGACAAGTAAATGCAAAACCAGCATGCCTAAGGCCTTGGGACAAACTGGCAGCTCCCAGCTAGGCAGGACAGTGACATCCACCAAGGAAGAAGAGTGGGGGCAGGTGGGGGGTGTAAGGAGAGATCTGAGCTAACAGACTTGCATTAAATTCTAGCTTACAACTGCCCTAGCTCACTCCTCTGGCCCCAGCCACTGCTCACATGTCAGCCAGTAGCTAGCTGCTCAACAAAGGCCCATATAAATATCAATAGCAATCAGAAAGGAACCATCACTAGTAGTCATTCTGTAAGATACTACAAAGTTCTACAAATATTCAAGATAAAAGTTACAACAACACTTCAAACAAGATCAACTCAAGAACAAATGCTGGACAAAAGATACCATGAAATGTAAGAAATAATGAATAGCTGCTTTCCCCTGGAATTCAAGAAATTAAAGAGCCTTTTCTGAAATAAGAAAAAATATATTCCTAAGGAGAAAGTTCAATAAGTAAACAAGCAGGGCTCAGAAAAAATGGAAGACAATAATAAAACAATTTTTTTAAGGTATCTTTGTTGGGATAAGAGGGGGAAAAAAGAACAGACTCTCTGAAAATAGAGTCAGAGATATAAAGAACAGACTGGTGAAAATCAAGAAAAGTAAAATGTAACAATGGCTGGCAATTCTGAGCCCTTACTATGCACCATTCAAGCCCTTTCACTCTCACCTCAGTAAGTGTTCAGAACAACTCTTTAAGGTAGACACGTTATTATCTCCATTTTAATGATGAGGACAATGAGATTTGGAAATTTATCTAACTGGCCCAGAGCTAAACAGCAAGAGTGATAGTGCAAGAATTCAAACCCAGGCAATCCAGCTTTGAAGTCTGTACTGACTACTACCTATGTGCCTCCCACAGAAAAGAGCAAGGCTGTTAAAAGGACTAGAAAGAGCCCTGGCCAGCGTGGCTGTTGGTTGGGCGTCATTCAATGCACAGAAAGATTGACTGTTCAATTTCTGGTCAGGGAACGTGTCTGTGGTTTCGGGCTCAATTCCACCATCCCCCTCCCCTGTGTAGGGAGCGTGCAATAGGCAGCCAATCAATGTTTTGCTTTCATGTAGATGTTTCTCTCTCCCTCTTCCTTCCTCTCTCTGTAAAAAAAATCAATAAAAATATTTTTTAAGAAAACTAGAAAGGTATGACTATGGAAAACAAAGGTGATCCAGTATATGCATAACTGAAGAAGAGAACAGAAAAGAAAATAGAAAGAAAAACAATACTTTAAATATATACACAAAAAAAGTTCCTGCAATAAAGCAAGACCTAACACTGCAGAATAAAAGATAAAATGAGTCCCAAGAAAAACTGATACAGCCCTGCCAGCATGGCTCAGTGGTTGAACTTCAACCTATGACCCAGGAGGTCATGGTTTGATATCCGGTTGCAGGCTCCAACCCCAGTTGTGGAGACATGCAGAAGGCAGACAATCAATGATTCTCTCTCATTATTGATATTTCTATCTCTCTCTCCCTCTTCCTTCCTCTCTGAAATCAATACAAATCTATTTTTTTAAATAAGAAAACTCTTACAACACTGAACTTCAAGGACAAAGAAAGAATCATATGAGCAACCAGGCCAAAGGAAAAAGAATCAAATCACTAATAATGGGAACAAATATCAAGCTGACTTCTCCTCAATAACATACATTCCTAAAAGATCATGGCACAATATGTAAAAAGTTTTGAGAGAGAGAAAACATGGGTGTGCAATGCAAGAACTTTCATCCAGGCATGACATTTCTGAATTATAAAGGCAAGCATGCAAGAATTCAGAGGCTATCTTACTCTTGTGTCTTTTTTTCAAAGATCATAGAAAATGAGGATCAATTCTTGTCCAAACTCTTAAGATAAATATTTAGTTCTACAGTATTAGCAGTATATATGTCTCCAGGTAGTTCAAAGGCAAACCTCAGCTTAATTATTGTGGACTGCACGTTTTGGTTTGAGAACTCCTAAGTAAATTTTTTTTTTCTGTTTCACAAAAAGACAGCATGAGTTGAGGAGATAATATCAAAACCATGCTTCAGGGTATTTTAACACTCTCTTCTCTGATGATTTCAGTTACCACCAAATTTTTAAAACCAATAGAAGGTTTTCAAAGAATTTTTCAAAAAATAAGAATATTATAATTCACAATGCACCAATATACATGAGCTTTCCATAGCTATCACTTTTCCCCATACGAAGACTGAGGATGCTGGTTACATAACCATTCCCAAAATGGTACAAAGGAAACCATAAATAGCACAGAGATGCAACTATACCATCACAAAGGTTCCAAGAAAATATAATATATGCTCCTCTAGAGTCTATACTTTACATTAACTCTACTGCAATGAAAGGTAAATAATTCACATCATGGATTGGTTTATCCAGGGTACATAATCATTCTAAGTTACACATAGTAAAACAAATCACTACAGTAACATTATGCTCTGATGTTCCCTTCAGTGTTTGACCTTCAAACTTTAAAATGAACTAAGAAAATATATACTTAAGAGGTAATTGTCCCACAGGCTGCTTTGTGAATGTCACATTGTCCTTCCATTATTGATTAACCTCATTCTATGCACGTGAGCCAAACATCTTTCCATCTTGAGCTTGGTGGAAGGGTTTAAGGCTGTGAAGCATGGCTGCTTTTTCTTCATGAGGATGAGGATATCTGTCATTACCTCACCATTACACCAGGCCTTCCTTCAAGGGTCACATTCATAAAAGATCATGGTGCTGCTGATGATAATAACAGCTAACCCTTATTGAATAACATGCGTCGAAGGTTAACAAACCTCTCAAGTATACTCATCTCTTATACTTTGCCAAATAACCCCCATGAGGTCAATATGTAGTGCGTGTGAGGAATACAGTGAGTGTTCCATAAAAACATTATAATTACACATTAAGAAACTGAAGCTTGAAGAGATTAAGTAACTAATCTGGTAAAGACTGGATTTAAATCAAGCCTGTCTCAAGCTCTTAATCTCCATTCTATTTGGCTTCCTTACACATAAAAATAGGAAGAATACCATTGTGGTGATCATTTCGCAATATATACAAATCCTGAATCATTACGTTATGCACCTAAAAATAACGTTATACACCACTTCTGCCCCTTTAAAAAAAATAGTAAGTTAACTAAGGCAACATGACAGTAATCCCTAGGCCAAATAATTACAGTGCATCCAAAAAAGCTAAAAGAAAGCAACTTTTATCTAATATAAAAGCAAAATTTAAAAAAAAACAATGTATTGGGGTGGAAGGGAGAAACAGCAATAGGGAGCCAAGCTAAAGTACAAGCTGGAAGAAAAAAAAAAACAAAAAAAACCCATATCACATAAAAGAATATATGGTTACTGTATTTGGGCCTAAAAAGGTATCAAAATGCTTGACTGCTCAGGGCAAGCTGCTGTGCAAACATAGGCTGAAGGACCAGACTGTGTTTTCTCTACCCTATCAGATGACCAAGTTACTGAAACTGAATACTACAGGGAGTAGAAATGCCACCGCCTCAGTATTTGAGAATGCAGACAAGCTCAAGAGTTTTGAACACAAGATTTTCTTGCATTCCTGTCCTCAGAGAATAACTATTACCTATGCTGGAAACTAAAAGAAATAATGCTAAATATGGCTGACCATCTCATTACCTCCCTTGGGAGAATATCATGCTACACTAAGGATACATAAGGCTACTCTCTTCAAAGTTAATTAATCCTGCAGGTACAGAGACATGCCCCCCTTTTTATTTCAATGTTACATACACATTCCAAAACGGATAGCATCAATGTTCCTTCCAATGTTCCAATGAGCCCACGTGAAAAGAAATGTCTTAGATCATGAAGTCTGGAGACAGAAATGCAAATTCATATCAAATCCATACCCAACGCAGTCATCCAAGGCTCAGTGTAACAGGCTGCAAGCTGCTTGACCCTGCAACCCCCCACCCCTGCACCTTATGCTGTATAGCCACCAAATACACAACTAGCCCTTCTAACGATGCCAGTGAAAGCAGCTGCTTTTCCCACTAAACCCTTAAGTGAACAGCAAACAAATGTGTATAGCTTAATGTTTTAAATGTATTTAGGTGAAAGCATAAAAACTTTAAAGTCTTAACGTTTACATTTTATTGGGGCAGAATAAAATACACATTTACTAAAGCAGCGCGTTTCTAGCAGCACGGTTCCATCCTGAAGGTTAAAAACAAAACAACAAACAAAAGCTTGGAGCTGCTGCCCAAAGTACTGAATGAGCTCGGGAAGTTGCCCTCGCCACCAGTTGTCCTCTTTATAAAGAATACCCCATACGTGACCTGCAAGTTGCAGGTGCCAGATCATCCCCCTCCTTTAGATGCTCAGCCTGGACGGCCAGAGGCTGACCAAGTGGAATCAAAAGCCCGGGATCTAGCGTTAAAAAGAACCCCCTGGCATTCAAGTTCAGGTGTTTTTTTCCAATACCGCTTTGCGACTCTGGACGAGTCAAGTCAGCCAGATTACTCTCACTTTCCTCTTCTGTACACTCGGGGGTTAAAGACCTGCCATTAAGTGGAGAGGCTGCCCCAGAGGGTCACAGGCCCTCGGCCGCGGCCGCCCCCGCCCCCGCCCCCGCCCCAGGTGCAACCCAGGAGAGAAGGAGCTGGAGACGCTCGGGAAAGGATGCTCCTCGCAGCCCTTCCCTTGAGGCGGCGGCGGCGCTCGCTGACATTCGCCATCGCAGCAGCTCAGCCCGCTCCCGGCACCTGCCCGGCGCGCCTCCCGCGTCCCTCCCCGCCAGGGTCCTGGGCTCGCCCCGTGCCCGCGGTCCCGCGACCCGCCTGGCGCCACTAACCCCAGCCCAGCCGGGGGAGGCTGCACCGCTCGCCTCCTCGCGCCTGCAGCTCCGCCTGGGTTAGGACCAGGCCCCGACCGGCTTCACCCGCAGAGCCCTGTCTCCCCAAGCCCGGCGGAGGCGGGGTGGTCTCGAGGCTGCAACTCCTTACCCGGGAGCTTGAGCGCCCTGGACAGCACTGTCGCCATGGCGGAGGCCCCGGTGCGCGTGCGCGCGCCCGCGTGCTGCCGGGAAATGTAGTTCCGGGCGGAGGGTGCGCAGCGCCGGGTCCCAAAAGGTAGGAACTGCGCGAGAGAGTCAAGGTCAGGAGGCGGGGCCAGCTGGCGGCCTCTAAGCCCAGGTGCAAGCGCCCGCGGGCTCTTCTCTCGCCCACTCGGAGCCAGGTCCTTTACTTACTTGGCAAGTGACCTGAGTCTCACCTTATCCTCAGTGAAGTGGGGAGATGAAGCCTACCACGTAGGTTTGCAGGAAGAAGGGTCTGACACAACCGGCTCTTGTGTTGAGAAATGCGCCCAAGGCTTTGGAGATAAGACAGACTGGATTTCAGTCCTGCCTGCAACCCTTACTAGCAAGGCCCTCTTGGGCAAGTTACTTGGTATGACTAAGTTTCAGCTTCATTTTTTTTTTCTTTTTTGTAAGAGAAGATTTATTGGGTAAATTACAGAGGTAGAGAAAGTAATTCCTAGAAGAAATAGGCGTAGGAAACAAGTCTAGAGGTAAAGGAAGGGCCGTTGGAGCTTGGGAGTGAGGAAGCTAATGGTAAGGTTGGGGTGGGGAGCGCGGGAGGAGGGGAAGGACTAGGGAAAGACATGGGCGTGCTCCCTGGAAGGAGAGAAAGCTTAACTTCATTTTTCTAAAAGGAGACAATGCTAACTACTTCACAGGCTTACTCTGAGAATTGATTATATAATCTGTTTAAAACACACAGCGCACAATAGGCAACTGTTTCTTTCTTAGGAAAAGGTCGAGGCTTCCTGGAGCTGTAACCCTAATTTCTTATTACCAGGTTAGGCACTGGACACCCTACCCGCAGCTCTCAGCTTGAAGGGTGTAGGAAGCAGAAACTGGCCTGCTTCTCCTTCACAGGCACCTAGAGATCAGCATTTTAGTGCAGGAAGGCTGACGATATCTAATCCTTCCTCTTTGTTTTACTGAAGAGAAAACTGAGTTCTAAAAAAAGTAACCTAACTTCTTAGTGTCAAAACAAAAGCTCTAAGATATCTCTCAACTTGGAAGCTGCTTCATTCCCATGAAAAACTGTAGATGGTTCTATTCTGTGGAAATCTGAGAAATTCATAACAGCTATGCCCATCACCCATTTCCCCAGGGGGGAAAAAAAAAAAAAGGTCACTGACTCTGACAGAGCACAGACTCTAGAGCCAGGTCATGAATTCAAACCCCAACTTCACCATTTCCTAGCTGTCAAATCTAGGGCTAGTTGCTCAGTCCCTCTCTGCCTCAATTTCCTCCTCTGCAAAATGGAGGTGAAATAGATCTTATTCTATAGAGTTGTCCTGAGAATTAAATAGATACATGCAGAGCACTGAGAACAGTGCCTAGCACCTAATAGGTGTTTTATAAGTGTTAGCTCTTCCTTTTAATAGTAATTTATTAATATTTTATAATTTAATAATAAATATAATTTTATAGGCAGTGGAATATTTTGGGGGTTTTGTTGCTGTTGTTTTGCCTTCTATGATACCCAAAATTTCTATTGTTTACCACTTTTCTGGGGATAAGTTAAAAACCATATCTGAGTTAGTCCAGAGGCCACGGCTGCAAAGAAACTACTGAGAAGCTGAAAAATGTCCACGTGCGGTGCCGTAACTGTGGCCGGCACTCTTCCTCAGCGGGCCAGGCTTGTCTCCAGAACTGCTTTGGGGTCATCCTTCATTTCTGCAAGTAATCTCCATGTCTCTAACACTCGTCTTAAGAAGATTGGCACTGCCACTGCTCTGTTATTGAAGAGCAGATTCTTGGAGCTCATAACTCTTTGACCGTGAAGGGACTGGGCATGTCGTAAGTATTGGTGATGGTATTGCCTGAGTACATGGGCTGAGGAATGTTCAAGCAGAAGAAATGGTAGAATTTTCTTCAGTTATTGAACTCGACAATGTTAGTGATGTGTTTAGAAATGATAAACTAATTAAGGAAGAAAATATTGTGAAGTGCCCAGGAGCCATTATGGATGTTTCCATTGTTGAGGAGCTATTACATCATGTAGTAGATGCCTTTGACCATGCCATGAATGGAAAGGGTCCAATTGGTTCCAAGACCCATGGGTGAGTTGGCCTAAAAACCCCTGTGATCACTCCTCAAGTTTCTGTGCAGGAACCAAGGCAGACCAGCATTAAGGCTGTTGATAGCTTGGTGCCATTGGTTGTGGTTAGTGTGAGCTGATTATTGGTGACCGACAGATTGGCAAAACATCAATTGCTAGCGACACAATCATTAACCAGAAATGTTTCAATGATGGATCTGCTGAAAAAAAGAAGCTGTGCTATATCTACACTGTTACTGGTCAGAAGAGATCCACTGGTGCCCAGCTGGTGAAGAGACTTAAAAGTGCAGATGCCATGAAGAACACCATAGTGGTTTCAGATGCTGCCCCACTGCAGTGCCTGGCTCCTTATTCTGGCTGTTTTATAGAAGAGTATTTTAGGGACAATGGCAAACATGCTTTGATCATCTATGGCGACTTATTCAAACCTGCTGTTGCTTATCACCAGATGTTTTTGCTGTGTGCCAGTCCCTGGTCATGAGGCCTATCCTCATGTGTTTTCTGTCTGCATTCCCATGTGCTAGAAAGAGCAGCCAAAATGAATGATTCTTTTGGTGGTGGCTCCTTGACTGCTTTAACAGTCACAGAAACACAAGCTGGTCATGTGTCTGCTTACATCCAATGAATGCCATTTCCATCGCTGACAGACATCTTCTTGGAAACAGAACTGTTCTACAGAAGTATCCACCCTGCCATTAACATTGGTGTGTTTTTTTGTTTGTTTGTTTGTTTTTTTGGGGGGGTTGTGTTTTGTTTTTTTGGTTTTTGTTTTGTGTTTTGTTTTGTTTGTGTGTGTGTGTGTGTGTGTGTGTGTGTTTGGGGTTTTTTTTGTTGTTGTTTTTTTTTTTGCTTTCCACTAATTTTATATGAAAACACCCTTTCCTCCCATTTTTATGACACCGTTTTATTCTTGCCAAATTCAGCCTCCCTCCCAGCAAGCTCTGCAGGGGTCCTCAAACTTTTTAAAGTGGGGGCCAGATCACGGTCCCTCAGAGAGCTGGAGGGCCGGACTATATGAACTACTAATTCCTACTGTAACACCTCGGCTGCGCTCACTGCCCAAAAAACCTGGCGGGCCGGATCAGACTCCTCTGCGGGCCGCATGTGGCCCGCAGGCCGTAGTTTGAAGACGCCTGCACTAATGCATACCCAAAAGAGCTGTTGGAACCCTCATGAGGCTATTTACCCTTCCCTCCCCAAAACTTTCCATCCCAAATTCAGTCTGTCTTAATACTCTTGGGAAATTTTTTCTCTGGGGGACAGTACCAGGCACCATAATTCCTTGGCCTTTGCTCAGAAGGTACTATCCCAGGGAATCAAAGAAGAGAGGCAGCCCTAGATGTAGAGAAGGGGCCTTTGTGTATTCATCCAGAGCACAAAGGCTCCAGGGCCTGTAGCTTTGGTTTGCCTCAAGAAAGTGAAATTAGAGTTTGTGGAAGAGAGTAGAACTAGGACGCTTATTGGTAAGCTCATCCATGACATCTAGAATGTTGCTCAGAAGAACTTTGAAAGTGGGACATTCATCTGCTTCCTCATGCCAACAACTGTACATATGGTATACACCCTTTCTAAAGCTAGATGAGGCCTGTAGAGACATAGGCCTTGGGCAATATATTCAGCAGTTTCACTGTTAGTAAATCTCTCATATGGCATCTTCCCCAGAGAATAAATTTCCCATATCAAAACCCCAAAAGCCCAAATGTCAGATTTGCTGCTGAACTTGCTGTACATAAGTACTTCTGGTGGAGACCACCAGACTGGAAATTTGGAGCCTACTGAGCTTGTGTATTCATCATCCAGAACATACCTCAGTTGCAGGCTCGATGCCCAGCCCCCAGACAGGGCACATGTGGGAGGCAACCAATTGATGTGTCTTTCTCACATCGATGTTTCTGTCTCTCCCTTTCTCTTCCTATTCTCTCTAAAAATATCAATGGAAAAATATTCCTGAAGAAAGAAAGAAAGAAAGAAAGAAAGAAAGAAAGAAAGAAAGAAAGAAAGAAGAAAGAGAAAGAAAGAAAGAAAGAAAGAAAGAAAGAAAGAAAGAAAGAAAGAAAGAAAGAAAGAAAGAAAGAAAGAAAGAGGGAGGGAGGGAGGGAGGGAGGGAGGGAGGGAGGGAGGGAGGGAGGGAGGGAGGGAGGGAGGGAGGGAGGGACAAACAAAACATTGGTTTGTCTATGTTCTGAGGTGTATCTGCTGCCCAATGCAGGGCTGTGAAGCAGGTGGCAGGCACCATGAAGCTGGAATTGGTATCGGGAGTTGCTACTTTTGCTGAATCTCAATGCTGCCACTTAATAACTCTTGGTGTGCATCTAAGTTCTGAAGCAAGCAGAGTATTCTCCCATGGCCATTGAAGAACAAGTGACTATTTATGTTGGTGTAAGGGAGAATCTTGGTAAAATGGAGCCCAGCAAGACCACAAAGTTTGAGAGTACTTTCTTGTCTCCTGTTATCAGCCAGCACCAAGCCCTGTTGAGCAATGTCAGGCTGGTGGAAAGGTCTCAGAACAGTCAGGTGCAAAGCTGAGATTGTAACAAACTTCTTGGCTGGATTTGGAGCTTAAACCCCTGTGGAGTTTTGTCATTGTTTCTTCTAGTAGTCAGTCCTGTTTGTAAAAGAATTACCCTCATACTCCAGATGTACAGAAATCACCTAAAAAACAAAGGTTCCATATTGCAAAAAAATATACATAAAGTATATCTTATCTTACATCTATGTAGATCATCTGGGAGAAGAAGCAACACTAGAAGTCAGTGGTGGCTTGCCTCAGATCAGATTAGTTCATTTGAACTCATTCTTGAGATATGAAAATTGATCAAAAGGTGAGCAAGATTTAGAAAATGTCCATTTTATATAGCTGAACTCTATCCATTGGCTCAATGGATAGAGTTCGGCTTGGGGACTGAAGGGACCCGGGTTCAATTCCGGTCAAGGGCATGTACCTTGGTTGCAGGCATATCTCCAGTAGGAGGTGTGCAAGAGGCAGCTGATCGATGACTCTCTATCGATGTTTCTAACTCTCTATCTCTCTCCCTTCCTCTCTGTACAAAATCAATAAAATATATTTTAAAAAATTAAAAAAGTAAACAAACAAAC